ACACAGAGGCGGGAACTCTCTCACTAGTCGGAGATGTCTCCTGTAGGTTTAATCTTTAGGTTCAGGTGAATATTATGTTAGTAAACTATTTATTAAGATACGTGGATTAGTTTATCGGAGATCGTCTGAAGCATAACGCTAGTGATGTCACAATCATCCGACCGTGGTGTAGTTAGCTTGTAGCGTAACGTTAGCTTTTTACTTCTGTCGGCCGCATTAAAACTTCTAACATCATAAAAATGGCGTTCATCTGTGAAGATTATCCTGCTGAACAAAACGCCTACGCTTCAGAAACGTGTGTTTAACACAGAGATTATTTTCTGCAATGATCCAAAATCCAATGAAAACATCCCAGAGGAGGATTAGACCCCATGGAGATGATACTTCAGGGCTGGTCTACAGAAACACGTCATATGGTTTGTTCTCTATTGGATGTCAGGGTCAGGATAGTCTGATTTTAGGGGACTACAGGGTGACATTATGTGGCCTGCAGAACATAATGGAAAAAAGGGAAGTAACTTTTGTACTTCTTGTTCCAGGAACTGATAGTAATCGACCCGTCTGCTAGAGGAATGTATGCTTAAAACAGACTAAGCCTCCTCTGTGTTTGAACACAATACACTTGGTTATTTCTACCTCCTGCCCTCCAGGGGCGACGAGTTCCTCTTTTTTCTCCAGGTAGGCCTAGTTAAACACACAGGCCATATTCACAAAGCTTCCAGAGAACTGAGAGTTGCTCCTATAGTGAAAAACTTCTAAGAAAATTCTTAAAATCAGAACATTTTCCTGAGGTGTAAAACTGTGAGGAGGACTTTTTAAGAGTCTGAAGAGTTTCTCAAATGTTTGTGATTACAGGCCCTGACTTCTCTGACCTGACCCGGGTTTAGTGGACCAACATACCAGCGGACAAAAACCTAGAAACATCTGTCTTGACCCCCCTCCTCTTTGCTCAGAAGTGCTTTGTTCATCATTGTTTCCGCTGATGTTTTTTGTCAGGGAGGCGTTCCTGAAGAAAAAAAAATGACTCACACGAGTGAGTGATCCGTATTTTAAATATAGAAACACTTACACTTGAGGAAGTCCTCGTGCTTCTTTGGATCTGGTATGCTCCTGTTCTGCTTTGCCGAGACGATCGCATGAACTGTTGTTTTTATCCCCTCTGTGAAGAAAGAGCACAAGCAGCACGATTTATAGAATTCAGACAATTTGTTTTCAGTTTACTTAAAAATGCATCAGAGGCAAACAAGTATTTGCTGTTTTTCAGCCAGCTGGTGGTGGTTGACCTCATTTGCACACACATAATAGAGGTGTGTCATCCAGCACCCAGGTGGTTTTTCTACCTGAGCTCTGCAGCTATGACACACAGGCTGAAATTCCTCACATGTGTGAACAAGCCCGGATAGACGACTATCTGTACAACTTAATGTCAGAGTGTGATTTCTTGCAAGGGTTAGGGGAAATTTTAAGATACACTACAGCAAGATCTGTAATTTTGACTGAGTTAAACCGTAAATTATAGGGTTATTACATGTTTATGACTTTACAGAATGTTCCCATTAAATTGACAATTTTCTTGTTTACGGTAAAAATGTGTGTTTTCAACATATGACTGTAAAAATTACATTTTTGTACCGTTTCTTGATTTACAGTAATTCAGCGTTTTTACCATGGTGATAAACCTTTTCAGATTTTACGGTCTTTTCCTGTTGCCATTTGACAGTTTGTTACTGTATTTTCTACTGATTTTTTTTTTTTTTTTTTACAGTGTGCAGTTTCTTTTTTTCTTTTTGCTCTTCTCTCACCGTTCTTGCACGTCTCTTTAAATTTCTCGATGTACGACGACACGAGCATCGCACACATCTCCTGCGTGGAGTCGACGATCACGCGGCTGAAGGAAGTGAGGCGGTCCATCAGGCCGATGTAAACGCCGGGCAGAGAAATATCAGTGCTTTCTTTCTTCCACTCTGAGTACTCCTGCAGAACAAACACACAGAGACATTCAGGGATGAGAGCAGGAAGAGGCACATGTTCACCCCTTAAGAAAACCTGAAGAAACTGGTTTCTAGGACGTCCTCCATCTTGGTGCTGTTACCTGTAAGAAGTCCACGTCATTCTTGTTCTTGGAGAGCTTCTCCACCTGCGCCTGCGTCTTCTTCAGCTCCGTGCACCTCTGCTCCAGGTGGACCTTGATGCCCTCGGCTTGACTCAGCGCCTGCTTCTCCTCGCCCTCCAGGATCTCCGTCACCTCCCGCTTCGCCCTCTCCATCACCGCCTGCAGCTCCTCAAATTGGCTCTCGATCACAGCTCGAACCTCGGTCACTGAATTCTGAAAAAAAAAAAAAACATTGAAGACTGATGTAACGGCGCTTCTTGGATGATGTTGATTATCCTCGGTTGTCTTGCCGTTAACTATAACACTAAACATACTTCATTAAATATATATATTCAAGTGTGGGTAAAGCATGGGGACAACTTCTGCTGTGTGTCTCGTACTTTTAATGTCCGTTCGTAACAAAACATGACATATCCAGACTGAACAACAACAACAGCGACACCTTACTTGTCTTAAAGCAATATCACTCCTCCAACCGTAACCATGGGTAACCTTAAAGGCTTAATTTGTGATTTTTCACACTTAAATGTAATATAAATCAAGTATATCCTCTGAAAATAACTCTGTGAGTCATGACTGTCTACAATGGGTGTAACACCCGAGTCCCACTGTCTGTGATGTTTTCAGAGTTTTCAGAGTCCTATCTTCACTTTGTTTACATTGCCCGGACGGCCGGCTGACTCCTCCCCTCGTGTATAAAAGTTGTTTAATTGAGGGACTAGAGAAAAGAAGAATAACATACTGTACTCACTGCTTAACTGTGTTTCTAGATCACGATCATTTCAGGTCAATTTACATGCAGTGTGAAGATACCAGCATAATAAAGATCACTAGCATTAGCATGCTAACACAACAATGCAGCGCCAGTTGTTTTGGTTTCATGCTGGAGCTCAAGGGCGACATCTGCTGGATCAAAAAAATCACATATAAAGCCTTTAAAGGCAAAGTGCATCATAACAAACAGATACTCTTGTAAAGTACAAATTGTAAATATAAATGAAATTAGCCTTAAATCAAATAATGTATTTGATCTCAACCTGAGAAAAATAAAGATCTATAAAATAAAACTTCACAAAAATAAATCTCATCTCCATCTTACACTGATATCACATCGTGTGGAGCACGGCCTGACCGTTAACAGGTGGGAATGCGTCAGGTAACAGGATGATGCTACACAACAGTCATGACAGAGAGGGAATGCTTCATTGTGCCTCAGCACCACCCTCAAAAAACGTGGATTTCCTCCCACACCTCAGGGGAAACCTGTCCGGTTTGGGTGGCTCCTTACCTCACTGATCTCAGGCCAAAAATAGTCCAAGCCAACTCGTGTTTAATCAAATATTGCAACACTCATGTGACACACTCTAAGTGAGCTCATCATGTTGGGTTTACCTCAATAGAGACGGTGTTCAGTTGCAGTCTGTTGATGGCGTTCTCTGCTGCTGTCACCGTCTTCACCATCTCCGTCTGCTTCTCTTTGAGTTCTTTCTGCAAAGAGACCAGAAGAGAAACAGAATTCAGTCTCTGCACAGAAACCACAAAAACCATGACGTCAGGCTGAAAATATGCCAGAAACAAAATGGAAAAAAAACATGAAGCTTTCTGCTGATGTAAACATTAAAGGCCGTGTTGTTTCATTGTTTCCTCTGCTTTGTACCAGGAGGTCACACATCCTTTTCTACACTTCAACAATGGAGGAGTTTTTTGGAAGCATCGGCTTGTTTTTCAAGAAGTTCAGAGTCTGAATTCCTCGGGCAGGTTCAGACGACTCCCGAGCCGTGAAGATAGACCCAGAGGGGGAATGTTTCCTTATGCTTGAGACAGCGTCACAGGGGCGTCAAATCTGAGTTAAACATTTATCAACCTTGAATAACCTGCAGCTACCATGCAGGTTGTGTCGTTCAGAGAGGGGGCGGGCTCTCTAACCACTTACTGTACGCTTCATAGCAAGATAAGTTGCAGAAATATGTAGACAAAAAGTTTTAGTTATTTCATTTTAAGTGTTATATACACAGGAATGTCAAGTTGAGGATAATATGTCATTGTAGGGGCGCCGGTGGTCTAGTGGTAGGGGTGCACGTCCCTTGTACAGAGGCTATAGTCCTTGAAGTGGGCGGTCCAGGTTCAAATCCCACCTTTCTTATAGCAATCTTATAATATGTCATTGTGAAATCAAATAACTGTTTCTCTGGTTTAAATAGACCCTGCATTACGATGGATGATGCAACATCCAAAATATTCAGAGCTCCCCCTGCTGGCTGGCTGCAGTATAGGTCATAAATTTCGCCTTGGGACACAGGTCAAACTTTAAACACGTCAAAGAAAAGTTTATGTTACTGACGAATAACAAAGTCGACTTCGACTGTATGCAGACGACGCTGTGACTTCCTCTATCACACTCTAACCTCATTCATAAAGCATTTATTACTCTCTTCTTTAATGGGTCTTTATTTACATCTTTCTCTGCCGTGTTGTGTGAAACAATAAAACTTTTAAGTATTAAGTCCCGCCCTTTAACGATGCGAAAAGCCGATCATTGTTAAGGGGTTTGGGGTAGCACCTAGGGTGGCCTATTTCAGGAGTTCAATGGGCGCCACCCCTGGACACGCCCCCCTGTCTATATGACTTGATACTGTGTGAGTTTGACTGGTATCACATCGAAGTTTAAAAACCAGGTTCTGTGACAGCTCTGATAGCAGCTGACTGTCATGAGCCTGGATCTCAAGGTTGTTGGCTTGAAACAACATGTTGCACAACTGCTCGCTTGATTAGTTGAACATAAAGCCAAAAATAACAACCACTTAATAAGCCGTTTTTTGTCTCCATTCTTGTACTTTTGGAATAATTCTAAAACAAGTTTGTGTCTTCATTGAGGATTATATAAAGACAGAGGATGTGTGTAATTTCTAACTGCACAGGAAATACAGTCGCTTCTTCATGACCGTCTTATTGTGCAGCTGCAGGAAATTTGTTTTTATCCAGATGGCTTAAAGAGTCTGTAGGGGATTCCAGGAAAAACCTGCAGGACTGAGGGAAGTGTTTCTAAAAGGCCTTCAGGTTATCTTTGAAGTTATCGTACAGAGAAAGCGTCTCTGACTGCTCGTACATGTGAGGTGTAAACTCAGTAAACAAGCTCCAGAATAAACAGAGGTGTGAGGTCCTTCAAGTGCAAATGTGGAGCCCGAGCTCTGAACAGGAAGTCATGTCACTCTATTGTCCTCCATGTTTTTTTTTTCTTGCTGCTCATGTCTGTCCTGTGGAGATGAAACCTCTTTGAAAGCTTGTGATTGTTGTAATGTTACTTTTATCCATATTTATTTAAAATTCATATCAAAAACATGACTTCCCTGTCTTGTTGAGTGTTCAAACACAACGAGAGGAACAAGTTATGTAGGCCGGGAAACGTGATCATGGGATATGAATGTGTTCACCAGCGTTCTCAAATAGCCGTGTTGACACTTCACTGTTTGCTTTGAGGCTCTAATGACCCTTGTCTCAGGTTTTTTTTTGCAACAACACTCTGCAAACAACAGGTGTCGGCTAAATGCTGCAGATCTTTTCAGGAATCTGGACAGGAATGCTCGACGTTGACGCTGAGGGGTCATAGGACTGTCAGAAAACGAGACGAATGACACCTTTAGATTGAGCTTCTCTCTCTTCTCTGTTTCAAAAGATCCCGACTGAGGATTGACTTTCCAGACTGACGGGAAGCAACACAATCCCGTTAATCACAGACAGAGACTGTGATTTGATGAGCCTTGGAGTGGATGATTAGTCCGAATGTTTGTCCTGATTGGATTAAAAAGTGATCAAAGCTGCATTGTGAGAACAACTGTGGTGCATTCAGACGACACTCATCAACCCCCCCCCCCCGATGGGCCTTCAACCCCTCTATACTCAGCTCATCTTTTATGGATGAAAGCCGCAGTGTGGGTAAGATTTTAGGGATAATTATGGCGGTCATATTTCCAAAGTAATGGCACATTTTGTTCACAGAGCAGAACAGGGGAAGCTTGGTGTCCGATATCCAAACCACAAAGGAGGCTTTGAGTCATTAGAGATGTCTGTGGACTTCATGTTTAGATACCGCTACAACTCAAAGGAGACGTACTGACTGATTTAGAAAAAAGTTACATCTCGTTTGAAGACACAACGAGGACAAACAGCTCGCTGCATGGCCGACATCGTTAGTAATTACAAGCTATTTGATCCAATCTTGAAAAAATAAAGTTCATCAGGACTCGACCGGTGAAAGAATCTGATTTTTTTTAAAGTTTTTTTTTTAACCTTTTTACATTTGTTGGATAGGAAAGCTGAAGAGAGAGACAGGACATGTGAGGAGGAGAGGGAGGAGGGGAGGACATGCAGCAAAGGTCAGAGGTCGGATTCTAACCCACGGCCGCTGCAAAAAGGACCACATAACCTCTATAGGCTATCCGGCGCCCCTGTAGTGAGATATTTTTGACTAGAAATCAGACAAATGCTCTCGCTAAGTTTGCAGTGAACTAAAAAAAGGAATACTAAAGATAATCAAATATATTTATTCAAGGTCTTAAGATGAGAAGATTTTGACTTTTTAGTGCTGCAGACCAAATTTAAAACCGAATGCTGTTGAATCCATCGTGATATAAAACAGAGACGAGCAGGGAACGCCTTCCTTTTTAAGAGCAGAGTGCATGTTTGACGTTTAGTTTGATGGACGATTGAGGCGAGTGTTTCCAAGCTTCAGGCCAAGAAACCCGAGGATTCAGAGTTACAGGAGGAATCTGATTTATTTTTTTAAAACTGTTTCAGAGCTTTTTTTTTTCCTTTGTGAATTCTGAATATTAGCAGAAATGGAGGCTTTTCCAAATGCTGCTTGGAGAAAATCTTTAATTTCAATGCACACAGTTTATTTTTGTTTTTTAGAAAGGTGTGAATGTATATTGTCTGTATCTTTGCCTATGTTTTGCATCTATTTTGTCCGTTTGATTTAATTTTAATTTTAATTTTAATTTGTTTTGTCCCTTTGTTCTTGCTTTAGTTGTCATGTCTATATATTCTTGTCTCATTTTGTTCACCTTATCACCAATAAAAAAAATAATAATAATAAAAAAAAGATATTGATGTCTTGATTTTAAGGGAACAAGAAGCTTAAAAGGTCAGAAAAAACGACTTATTGATGAGTTATTAATCCATCCTTAATTAAATTTTTTTTAAATGCATATAAAGGTGTACCTATGATGTTTAAATGAATATAAAATGTGTTTGCTCTGGTAAAAGGAAAGTCAAACAGGACAGATAGTAAAAGGTTTCACTCGCCTCTATGCGTTGGCGAGCCTCCACCACGGTCACCGTGTTATGGCCCCGGTGCTCCTCGCTCACACAGTCCTGACACACGCAGCACAAGTCGGCGCAGCAGAAGAGCTCCAGGGGCCACTTGTGGCTCTCGCACGTCCTCCTCTCGATGTCCCGGAGCGGCTCCACCAGCCGGTGGTTCTGAAACTTGGTGTTCTCCAGGTGAGGCCGGAGGTGGGCCTCGCAGTACGACACCAGGCAGGTGAGGCAGGACTTGAGGGCCCGGCGGGGGCTCTCGATGCACGAGTCGCACACCACATCGTCGGGGCCCAGCGGCTCTTCCTTCACCTCCTCTTCTTTCACCTCCTCCTTCACCTCCTCTTCTTTCACCTCCTCCTTCACCTCCTCTTCTTTCACCTCCTCCTTTGCTTCCTCTTTCTCCACTTTCTTCTCCTCCTCCTGTTCAGGCTTCTTGGGGTCCTCAGACTCCTTCAGGTCCTCCTGGATTTTGGTCTCCTCTGAGGTCTTGGAGTCGGGCTCCTCTTTGCGCTGGATGCCATTCTGTTTGGGAGCTTCCGGTTCAGACTTGACGGGGCTCTTCAGACACTCAGGACATCCTTTACTTTTGTCCCCGAGGCAGGAGGTGCAGACAGAGTGAGCGCAGGCTGCAGGTTTGTCTCCGCTCAGAGCCCCTGAACACACTGTGCACAGATTCTGTTTGGAGACCTGAGCGGACTCTTCAGGTGCTGGATCTGCCATGACTTATCTCAGGTTCTTCTCTCTCTTCTCTCTCTGTCAGTTCTCTTTATGTCGGCCTGCAGGCTCCTCCTCTCTCCTCTCTGCTCAGCTGTCTGAGCAGAACTGGCTGGGTGACTTCAGTCAGCCGGTTTAGTTCCTGGATCTGACTGAAGAGGCTGGATGGCCACACCTCGAGGATGTCAGTCAAAAGCTCATAGTTTCAGTCAGAATGTTACCCGCCCCTTCAGTGAAACCTCCCCCCCCTCCTCCTCCTCCCTCCCTGAAGGAAAAAGAAAACCACAGGGTGGGTCTCATTCTGTAAACCAGGAACAGAGATGTGTAGAGAGCTGCACTGTGTCTGAACATGAAGTGAAACTCGATGAGATGGTTCACAGATGTTTGATCTGTTCCTTCTGTTTTTCGGCCGATTAAACCACCACAAACTAAACCGAGGGAAATCTCTCCTGTTGGCTTTTGCTGTGTAAAGTAGAAAGTTCAGTAACAATGTAAACATGTTGAGTGAATCATCAAAGTCATGCAGGAAACTGAGAGCAGATGCTGCCACCAAGTGACCAGAGTCTGCAGCCAGAGTCAGGGTGTTTCAGTGAAAAAATAAGAAAAGGTCTTTGCTGAAGAGAAGATTGAATAAGTGGTCTTACACCTGGTCTGATCACATGTGGACAGCTCTTGTGTAAGAGCGTTCACACTCTGCATTAACAATCAGCCTTTCTATAAGGAGCAGTCTGTAACTCTGACACCTAGTGTTTAAAATGGGTACTGCAGTCTAAATTATAAACATTGTAGAGCGCTGTCTCCCCTCCTCTCTAGAGTGGATGCTCACTCAGGTCACCATGTGGTGGACTCTGAAGCTTCAGTGTTTATCCAGCTCTGCATGGGTCTGTAAACCTTTCTGTGTTCTAACCTCTCTCCATTTTTCAAAAGCATCTCCAATATTGATCCTTAAAAACCGCCTACCTTCTCTGGTCCAAACAAATCCAGAGCATTCAGGAGCAGAATCTAAAGTTAGAAGGAGGACATACTGGCTGCTGCATTGTTGTCAGAGAAGTCAGCACTTCAACATAGCATGTTTCAAATGCAACAGGCAGCTATTTCAGGTAAAAGAAACGCTGATAAACTCTGATTAGAAGACTTAAGATTAGATCATTTTATTAGTGAGAAGTTTCTCATGGGGGGTTGAGTAAAAGAGTTGGATGATGACCATCATTAATTTACACCGAGGGTGGAATACGGGCAGATAACAGTCGACTCATGAATACATCTCGGTTCTCTTTGTTTTTACCGAAGTGGCTTTTATCTGATCGAACATCCCCATGACAAAAGAATCCATATAGATGTAAACGAGCAACGGTTAGATCGAGCCGAGAACAACAAATCCACAGGAAGCTTGATTTCACTCTCTTTTAAGGACGCATTTAAACCCCTCTATTTCAGCCCTGCTCAGAACTGGCTGTTTCTGTGTCTGTACCTTTAAATATGTAAATGAGCTGTGTCTGACCACGCCCCCTCTCTGGAAGGCCTTGGGTGCACTTGGTGTTTTCTCGCTCCATGTCCTATTGTTTACGGTGAGAAGGCAGACTCAGAGGGCAGAACAAACACCTAGCTGTGGGAGTGTCACCCACCTGGGGGAGGGGCTACTGCCCTTTGTGATGTCATGAAGGGAAAATCTACAAACGGCCTGTTTGAGCACACATTTTCTGAAAAGTGGAGCAGGCAGAAGACAGAGAGGATGGACTTTTCTCACCATTGGGGGGGTTTGTAGACGGACTAGAGACACATGTTAGAGTTAGAGGAACATGGAGAAGAGTGTTTTTGTATTACATGTGACCTTTAAATATCGGACGATGTGACAATAAAAACAACAAAACAAAGTTAAAATCATTAAAAATGTATTATTTATTCAACAGATGAAACACACGCTGTGAATCCTCTACGTCTTAGTGTAACTACAGTGCAGTATAGACGAGTCTTTGAGCAGGTCGGACACAGACAAAATAATCATTTGCATCGAAACAACAGCACCATCATCTGTCGCCATGGAAACAGGGGGCTATATCTCAGCGTTTTAATCCGGTTGCAGGTTTGATCTGCATGTTGAAGGTTGTTAAAAAGAGTTTTAAAAACATTGTCTACCAAGTTTAAAGCACGCTTCTCAACGTGATAAGATAAAAAAAGATTCAGTTTAGATAAGTGCCAGAGGGGTGATTAGCCTAGCTTAGCATGAAGGCTATGAAGCAAGGAGAATTAAACCTTAGAACTGTTCTCTCCGAGGTTAGATATGAAGCTGCTATTCATGGTTAAGACATTTTATTTTACATTTAATGAAGCAGTTTATTGATTTCTGTCCTGTAATTTATAATAAAATTATAAAGAAAATAACAAAGAAATTACGCTTATTATACAAACAAACAGTGTTTTAAAGCATCAAAGAAATTGTAAACGTTTTAATTCAACACATTTTTTTTACTGCAATTTGTCTGCTGTGTTTTGTTCCTGTAAAGTTTTACCGTAATAGACCTTTAGATGTCACCGCTGCAGAGATTGAATTCCTGATTTTTAATCCTCAACTTCCTCAAACATCTCAGGAAATATGAAATCTGATGATCAGACTCTCGTGTATCCAGTGATCGAGGAAAAGCAGACGATGAAAAGATAGTCTGTTTTTTGTTTTTTTAAACGGGGGGATTTGTCTCAAAATGTTCGAGCCATAACATTCAAATCCTCCGGGAGGGCAGCAGCGTGGACCAATCAGAGAAATTACCTCAATCAGAGACGAATGAATTCAGTTCTTAAAACTTTGAGAAATCGATGGTGAGGATGTGAATGAGCTCCTGATATCACACGACATTAAAGGTGTTGATGAGTCATTGATTAAAAACCTCCTCTCTCTCTCTCTCTCTCTCTCTCTCTCTCTCTCTCTCTCTCTCTCTCTCTCTCTCTCTCTGTGTGGAGGTTGATACATGTCAGCAGAAATGGACTTAAAGCAGAAGTTTGTGCTCTGGAGCAGCAGCAGTCTTTTAGTCTGAACAGTTTGTTTTTGTTCCTCCATCACTGCACGCCCACCAGCTCTGTGATGGGCGGAGCAAACACCATCAGCTCCTGGTACTTGTTGAAGAAAAGTTGAAGGCGGGACAGGTAGCGGTCCTCCTGGTAGGGGAGCTTCTTCTCAGTCAGATACTTTGACACGACCGGCTTCACCTGCACAGACACATGGTCACGTTTATAGGTTTATAAACTCAAACATGGTTTAGAACCCAAAAGGAAACCAGCCGTCAGCATGTTGTAAGCAGACTGTAAGAAAAGTGTGCAAAAGTGAGGCCAACTGTAATGTTTTAAACCTGCATTCTTTCTAATGGCCAGCAGGGGGCAATCAATTGTCTTAAAGTCTGTAAGAAATGAACTTACTTCCTCAGTAAACATTTCCCTGATGAGTCTGAAGTCATTTATCGCTCGTGTTTCTTTGCAGCTTCTGTCAGACGTGCAAAAATGTTTTATTTATGCCTCCAAGTCTGCAGTATAACCAGAGCAAGATATAAGGGTTTGCAAAACGGTATTCCAGAAACCAAGAGGTATTTTTTGTAGTCTTAAAACACTGACTCACTTGTTTCCTGGATCACATTTGATGCCCAAGTTAAAAATAAATAAATAAATAAATAAATAAATGTTTTTTAAGATTTATTTTTGGGGCGTTTTCATCACACATGAAATGAAGCCGCTTATAGAGTTTCTGTTTCTGTTCTACTCTGACTTTGAAACTGGAACACGTCCAATCAGACACATCACTGATTTAAAGGCAAAAACTGTCTTCAAAAAGCTGCTCGTCCTCCATCTTGGAGTGTCTTTTTCAGATCTTGCATCCCCTCTTGTCTGCCGGGGTGAACTTCTCAAATAATCAGATCATGAAGAGTTCAGGGGGCAGGCTGACGGAAAGTTTCTAAAGATTTTCAGGAGTGCATGTGAGGAAAACGACCTCAGTGACCTGACTTTTTCTGAAAACATTTCCCAAAGTTTCACTCCAACACATTATCAAGTGAAAATTAATGGAGTTAATGTATTAACTCAGGACCACGCCTAAAACCACGCCTCCAAATACCTGACAGCCTACTTACACCTGGTCACCTCACCACACCCCGTCTCAGATCCTTATACCCACCCTCCCTTCCCTCCTTCCTCATCCCTTCCCTCCTTCTTTATCCCTTCCCTCCTTCCTCATCCCTTCCATCCTTCCTCATCCCTTCCCTCCTTCCTCGTCCCTTCCCTCCTTCCTCATCCCTTCCCTCCTTCCTTATCCCTTCCCATCCTCTCCTCGCCTCTTCCTTGTCTCTCTCACTTCAGGTTCAGTCTGGGGCCGTATTCAGTTCGGGTGGATCCATACCCGAGACAGAACCCCCACTCTGAGTCTCTCGCTCGCTCGATCAACCTCCCAGACCGGCCTGAAAGACGACGGCCATCTCACACCTACACCCTCTCATACACACACATCTGTCAATATATCTTCTCTATCTTCATCTATCTTAATTCACATTAAATGTTGAAACTAATGCTGTTGTGGCTTGCTCCTTGCTAGTGAAGTTATCTTCCCAAAGCTTCCAGATGTTTCTCAGCATGAACTCTTTAACCTTCACAAATCCATTCCAGTGAAAAGCAGCAGACCCTCAGGTCCACCCGGCTGATCGCTACTTCTACTGATCTGCATCCTGACGGTCTCTTACCTTCAGACACATGTTGTCAGACAGAAAGGGGAACAGGTGGTGCTCCACGTGGCAGTTGATCAGCGAGTGTCCGAAGATCCAGTCCAGCAGGAAGTTCCTCGGCAGGTTCAGGACCCCGTGCGTCATCTGGTAGACCCTCTTGGGGCGGCTGGTCGGGGAGAACATGGGGAGGCCGATGTGCTGCAGAGTGCACGCAGGGGTTTAAAAAAAAGTGTGGTTAAATATCTGCAGACGATCAGACGTTACAAAGACAGAAACGACACACACAGCGTGCACTTAGCCGTTAAAACGTACAACGAGAGCCCCGGGAATCAGACCGCTAAGTGGGTTTGGATTTGGATGTGATGTCACCTGTATGTGGTGACGCAGTGGATGCTGAGGGACAGGAAGTGAAGGCTCTCTGCTGTAATCAGGATCACTAATGTCATCATGGTCATCATTACTTTCCAAGTCATTCATTTTATAAACTTTGAGAAAATATTGGCTCTGAGGTGTTTTATTTTTATTTTTATTTTTTTATCGTTGTGCACTCTGAGGTGACCGACATGTCCCGATCAAATCAGAATTGATCTAATGGCACAAAACTAAAGTGGGTTTGTAGATATGCTTTTCTTTTGCATTCATTTATTTTTATTTATTTTTAAAATATAACAACAAACAAAACAGACCGAAACAAAAAGTGACACACACATCACCAATGACATAACCATGATTTACTTTCAGTTTTTGCAACCAAAATAGTGTTTCCATACATTACCCCTATTCATTACATATTGTGAAACATCCACTTCTACAGTGTTTGAACATAGATCTGTAACCTGAGTGTCTACTGTGGTCTGCATAAGTCTTACAACACAGAGAAAAATGCTCTGTTTCAAATGTGCTCTCCTTGTGATGTCACAGTGGGATTCTGGTAAAAAAAAATCCCCTCCCCTCCCCTGGTATCTCCACCCCCAGACTAGAACAAAACTTTTGTGCAGGTCGGCCATTTTTATTCTCGTTACAGAGAAGTGATGTCTACGGGGAAAACTCAGGGGGCGGGGTCACTTCATTTAAAGAGACACACACCAAAACGGAGCGTTCTGAGAGAGCTGGTTTATACAGGGTCACAAACCTCCTCTGGTGCTTGATTCATGTTATATTTTGACCAAAGCACAGCACAGATGTTTCATTTAGACCACAGGGGACTGTTTGAAAAGGTGGAGGAGGGAACTGTTTGAAAAGGTGGAGGAGGGAACTGTTTGAAAAGGTGGAGGAGGGAACTGTTTGAAAAGGTGGAGGAGGGGGATGATATGTCCTCTTTAAAACATCGTTCCTCATCCAGAGTGTTTCAATGCAACACACATAATGTTCACTCCTCCATTGTTTTCTTTCTACTGATTGAAAACAAGCGAGGTCAGCAGAGAAACCCGCCAACAACAGCACCAACAACCACGAGGAGAGGTCCGACCCCCCCACAGAGAACAAACGCGCTCCCCTGTGAGACCATCGACCTCACACCCCGAACCTGTTTTAATAATCCACACATTGATCAGAACAATGCACAATGACCTGCCGGACTGCCGGATGTCATGCATGAATACTTCCAGTTTATCCCCTTTAGATCACTCGCTGCCGCCGTCCAGATCTGTGACAGCACAAAGCTGCATTCAGCCAGAGCTTCTGAGAAAGTAGAGAGAGCTGCTCTCATCATGACTCGGTAAGACGTTACATGAATGTGCGAGGTGGTCGATGTTTGTGTTTAAATTGAAATGTTTCATTCATGTTTAGTCTGTTCAGTAAAGTTTTCCATACTGCACATATGCAAACCATCTCACTGCAGCAGGACTAACTACCAGTCCTGAGGGGACAGGGTCTTCTCCATTGCTGCTCCCCACCTCCTGGATCTCACTCCCAAAAAACCCTCATAGACCCCCCCCCCCATTATTTGTTCTTTGTTTTGTTTTATTGTCCGTCTTTGTTCAGAGTCTTCGAGTACTCAGAGATGCTATCAGAGAACTCGGCTGATGGTTTTGGTTAATCTGTTCCCATTTTTTTGTTGTTTTGTCTAAAAACTTAATTTGTTTTAGCCAACAAGTCCAACATCATACACTGATTGACATATTTATTTTTCTGTGAATAATGCACAAAAATATACAACGGAGGATTAGGGCCACGTTATTATTATTATTTTTTTTTTAATTTACGAGATTAAAGTCTTAAATTTAACTTTTATCTCGTAAATTAATGAGTTCAAGACCAGCCTGCGCGAAAATGATGAAAGCAGAACTCTTAAAGTCTTTTACTCTGCAGACAGTGGAGTAAATTTATGACTTTATTCTCGACTTTATTCTCGTAAATTTACGACTTTATTCTCGACTTTAATCTTGTAAATTTACGACTTTATTCTCATAAATTTACAACTTTAATCTCATAAATTTACAGTTTTAATCTCGTAAAGTTACAAATTTATTCTCATAAATTTATGACTTTCATCTCAAAATTAAAAAAAAAAATGTTTTAAACTTCTTCCTATCCCCTTTGAACATGAACTATATTATTTGACTTATTTATTTGTTGCTATGGATCCTGAGGATCCATTTTGTTTTTTTTGTTTTGTTCTTTTCCTTTTTATTTTGTGTTTGTATTTTCTTAACATGTTCAATAAATTGACTAATAAAAAAAACTGAAATGAAGTGCTACATAAATCTTATGATTTATTAATACTATTATGATTATTCTCCTTCAGGCTGTAGGAGTGCTCAGGTGTGAGTTTCTCACCTGGAAAATGTTGACGTGTATGTACGGCACAGAGAACATGGCTCTGCAGACGAGCATGCAGAGCAGAGCGCTGACAGGTGACAGGAACCCGGAGACGTGGATCAGCAGCCAGTACTGGGAGTACAGGCCCAGTGTCACCATCAGGACGGTCCTGCAGATGAGCAGCGGAGAGTTTCCTCTGAGGTGAGCTGTGAGGCAGAGAATCAGATGCATGAGAATAAAGTCACACCTTGATGAGAGAGGTCGAGGTAACACAGGGAGGTAGGCAGCGAGTTTCTGCCTGTAATCACATCGAGGGCTGAAATATTTGAGTAAATATCCCGTCCCCTCTTTGGTTCCTGTGGGGGGGCGCTTACCGAGTGCAACGAGTGGAGTGATGACGGGCACGGCCAGAGGGGCTATGAACAGGTAGACAGAGCGAGGCAGGAACGGGACCTTCCACACGCTGGAGTCGCCCAGTCCAATGACGTTAGTGTGAGCGTGATGCATCTTAATGTGACCCTGAACGCCGGCCCGCGCCGAGAACGAGCCGCAGATCTGAGGCGGATATGAACACAAGGACACATGACACGAGGTGTTTATGAAGATACAAAAAACATAAATGAAAAAGATATCAAGCTGGAAAATGAATTCAACAAATTCATGAAGCGGCTCTTTCACCCCCCCCCCTCCTCTCTAGAGTGGACGCTCACACAGGTCACCATGTGTTGGACTCTGAAGCTTCAGTGTTTATCCAGCTCTGCATGGGTCTGTAAACCTTTCTGTGTTCTAACCTCTCTCCATTTTTCAAAAGCATCTCCAATATTGATCCTAGTTTGAGCACGTTTCTGCTCGTGGAGCTTATTAGAAACATGCAGAGGCTTTTTAGGTCGGGTACAATCACTTCTATCTGAACCACTTCTCTTGACCGCTTCCATCGCTGCAACACCTGTTGACCTGATAACTGCTCTCATATCTGGCAAACCGAGGGGCGTCCAAAACGGCCATGGGGGGGGGGTCTTAAAAACCGCCTACCTTCTCTGGTCCAAACAAATCCAGAGCATTCAGGAGCAGAATCTTAAGCTGAGAGTTCTTTACTTGCTGTGTGCTTTTATTTTGAAATAAAGTAAGGGCCTTCCTGTAGATGGAAGGTAAGGACATGAAGTTAAGCCCCGAAACAGGAAGTGGTTAGGGATCCCAAAGTGAGGTCAAACTGCTCAAAGGAACGGTAACAAAGGTCAATGTGTGATGTCATAAGGTCAATGTGTGATGTCATAAGGTCAATGTGTGATGTCATAAGGTCAATGTGTGATGTCATAAGGTGGATATTACTGTCTGAGAGTTTGTTAAAGTGAAATGAGACATTCAAAGATGCAGCAGTGTTCTTCTTTTACATCAGTGAGACTACAGGGAGACACTGAGGACCACTATCTACGGAGAGCCTGAAGGGACAAAATAGCATGAGATTAATCAGGATTAACTCGTTAACAGATCTGCTTGATATGGCTCGTTATTCCTCCAGATTTTTAGTAACACAGCGTTATAATTGAGCTTTGCAACATAAGAGGTAGACGGCTGTTCTGTGAATATGTTACCGTTTGTTCCTTTAATAAAGTAAAGTTCAGCCTGAGGAGATGGAGTGTATGAGTCCTTGTTTACTTGAAGAGGACTGAACGTTCAGTAAACATCCGTACTGACGGGTTCACATGTTTACTGAATTGATTTTCAGCCGTGAAGTCAGAGGAGGTCATCACCACAGGTCCAATTTTAAGACTAGTAATGCTAAGTTAAATCCTGGTTGTATATATTCCATTCTTAGTTTTGATATTTTTAGTGCTTATTTACTTTGTATTTAATATTATATTGTGTTTTTTACTCATATTGTGTGTTTGCACAACCTGCTGCTGTAACGCCACAATTTCCCAGTTTGGGATCAATAAAGTAATTTATTCTATTCAATAAGAGACTGTGTTCAACCTTTATTTACACAGGGTGGGGTCAGCTGAGCGTGCCTAACCCAGCACCCCACACTCTGGTCCTTAACACCTGGACTCTAAAACATCGGTTTCAGGAATCGACCTGCTCTTAAATGTTAAATATTGAAACTTGAATCCTCCAAAGTTCCAAATGTGTGTCACCAATGTGACATATAACGTTACATATTGTGGTGTGTCGTACTTTAAACATGCTTGCGTAATAAAACACATTTTTACGAGCACTTTTCCATAACTCTGAGTCTGAGCCGGAGCTGTGGGAATATGAAACGCTGCTGTCGAAGAAATCTGGAGCGAGACATTTAAAGGAACAGTTACGAAAAAAGTGCTCGTTTACTTTTCCAGAGTTAGCTTAAAACACTTGTGTGTAGGTTCTATACAACGCTAGTTAGCTTAGCATGAAAATTTGAAAACAGATCGCCTATCTCACCCTAAAGTTCTGGACGTAGCCCGGCTAGCAGTTTCCCCCTGTTCCACGTCTTTATGCTTAAGCTAACTAGCTTTGTATAGAACCTACACAGCTCCGGCTCAGACTCAGCATCCTGCATCCGTTTATTCCTGAACATCTCACCTCGATGAAGAAGACGGCCCAGAAGTTGCTCCAGGCCTGCGACTCGCTCAGCGCCCCGTGGCTGGCCAGATGTGTCCCCTTGATGGTGATGACGCCGTGAGCGACGCCCATCAGCAGCACGCCGGCTGAAAACCACAGCGGCTGAGAGGAGCCGAGCAGCAGGAAGGCTGAGGGACGGGACAGAACACACACACACACACACACACACACACACACACACACACACACGTCTGAACTCAATAAGATAACGTACTGAGGCCTTGAACACTCATATCAAACACAGAATCTGTCTTTACATAACTCAAACATTGACTCAGGAAGTGTTTTTACTCTCCTGGTTTGATTTCCTTTTCTTTTAAAGATACCTTTAGGACCAGGGGTGTGTCCAGACTTTTTTGGGGGGCTGGGGTGGCCCACCTGGCTGACTGACCTATGCAGGGGTGGCCTGACGTTTTTGGGCAAACACACACACTAATGATGTGTACTTAGAAGTCACACAATTAGGCAACATTTAAATCTTCTTAGCTCGATTCTTTCAGGATGATGTCTGAGCAAAGTCACATTATGATGTGGTGATGAACCTGCTGGCTGTTTGTTTTGCTCGTTGGCTGTGTCTGTGTTTCAGGTGGATGTGGGTGTGGCTGGGTCATCATGGATTGGGAACACCTGAACCAGTATTCTCAGGCCGCACTTCTTCATTGAGGGAGACAGAGACTCTCCAAAGCTCCTCTTCTCTTTGTTGGATCTTCCACACAACACCTCCCTCCTCATACTTTCACTCATGCATACACCTTTACACAACTGATGAACTGATGTCCACACCTCAATGTTTATTAAAGGCTTTATATGTGATTTTTTGATCCAGCAGATGTCGCCCTTGAGCACCAGCATGAAACCAAAACAACTCACGCTGCTTTGTTGTGTTAGCATGCTAATGCTAGCGATCTTTATTATGCTGGTATCTTCACACTGCATGTAAATTTACCTGAAATGAGCGTGATCTAGAAACACAGTTAAGCAATGAGTACAGTATGTTATTCTTCTTTTCTCTAGTCCCTCAATTAAACAACTTTTATACACGAGGGGAGGAGTCAGCCGGCCGTCCGGCGATGTAAACAAAGTGAAGATAGGACTCTGAAAACTCTGAAAACATCACAGACAGTGGGACTCGGGTGTTACACCCATTGTAGACAGTCATGACTCACAGAGTTATTTTCAGAGGAGATACTTGATTTCTATTTAAGTGTGAAAAATCCATATAAAGCCTTTAAATCTGTTCCTTATCGTGGTTGTAAATAAATGTACTCGGGTGTATTTCTCTGCAGCTTTAATACACGTCGTTCTCAGCAGCAGATGTTGTCAAAGATGTTGTTTTTGTGCCTTTTTGTTCTTTAACAGGATGAAGAATGAATGAACTTCCACTTGGAGTAGACGAGGATATTTACACAGTGTGGGAACTATTAGTCATTTTAAATGTGTAAATAACAGAACTTCTTCTTTGTCTTACGGTAAGTTACTGTAATATTCAGGCTGACGGGATTACTCTGCTGCTTCATTCAAACTGAGGAGTCATGTTTTATGTTTAACGGTCCATAAAAGGCGACTTCACCGTTCTGTTAATCGTCTGCTGGTTGTGGAGGTATTTGACTCACACAGACCCACTGACCCACAGTAAGTGTGTGTGTGTGTGTGTGTGTGTGTGTGTGTGTGTGTGTGTGTGTGTGTGTGTGTGTGTGTGTGTGTGTGTGTGTGTGAGCAGTGGTGTTGACTTTCAGCCATGACAACATGCGGGACGATCAGGTGAACGACTGTCACTCGATCCTTCAGCAGCAGTGACTGTGCTGCTTTTGTGTCTGACAGCGTTTCATCACACGACGTGGGTTTGGGGGGGGGGGGGTTCCTTACATGATGACATCACCGTGTACTCAGGGTAACCCTAACCCTATGTGAAGGGATCTCACACGATGCAGATGTGACATGACCTTGATATGACCTTGAATCTCATCCCTTCCTTCACTGCTCTGACAGCGTGGAGTAGATAACATGTTTCCTTCCTAACCCAATAAAACGGTGCTAATGTAGCCTACTGCACCTCGTGTTTCAAGGCCGCCTATTTTGAGTTATGTCACAAGATCGGCGATATCAGTTGACCCCCCTCAGCCGGACTCTGGCACTCAATTCAAGAAGAGAAGAGAGTATTTCTGTATCTATGAAGTCGGGGATTCATTCAAGAAAAACTCACAAACTGAGCAGTTAAAAGAGGCTGAATGTGAAGTGAATAAACTGCTGCTGTAGTGGAACGTGTAACAACAGTAAAGCCTGGACCCCCAGGTGTCCTGTGGTGCCGCCTCAGAGCTGTCACCTCCAATGATCATGAGTGATACGAGTCACAAAAGATACTCGTCCTAATTGAGGTCAGGAGGTGACCAGCAGTGACCCAGTTAAGACGAGAATGAGGGGATACGGTGATAGAGTGTGAAACTGTCATGACAACGGAGCAGGACCGAGGGGGTGACAACGAGCCTGACAAACGAGCCCACTATCAGCTGACTAGACCTTCCTGGTTTTCAGATCAGAGCCTGTTCTCTGGTCTGGTAGAAATGGGGTGCACAGATGTTTTTGTTTCTTGTTTCTTTCTGCAGGTCCTGTGTTGGACTATGAAATAACTTAAATCTGTAGAGACTTATTAAAGAGTGCTACATACTTTTAGACTATATATCTGCATGAACTTTTCTCCCCCTCTTCAGTGACATTTACCACTTTTTAACCAATAAGAAGAAACATTAAATGTGTGAAGTTTTACATGGTGTGTGCAGAGTCTTACCGGGAGGCACACAGAGGAACGCTGCAGCCAGGATGCTGCAGTCGATGCCCTTCCTCTCCCACCAGCTGCTCTCCTTCACCGCCTTCTGCACCAACCGCGACAGCTCCATCATCAGGGACTCCTTCTCCACCTCTCCATTCTCCTTTACCTCTCCCCCTCTCCTCTTCTTTAATGTCTCCTCCATCCTCTCCTCCTTTCCTTCTTCCCTCCACTCCTCCGGTACAGTCTGCATGTCAAAGCTCCTGCCTGTGCTGCTGACCCCGGGACGGCTCAAAACAAAAACTCACCATGCAGTCGGTGTAGAGTACACGCTGCACCCTGAGGGACAAAGTCTACAGGTCAAAGTTAGCATTGTCAGAGAGAGGCCCCGCCCCCTTTTCCTGCTGCTGCTTCAAAAGCCGTGTGGACCCTCCTCCTCCTCCTCCTCCTCCTGCTCTTCATCTCTCTTCTTACACCATTTCCTCCTTTCCCCCCCCCTCTCTGTCAGCTGACTCCCGATGCGATCCGGCAGCAGTGGAATTCACTTGTCCCACGCCCGGAAAACATGTAAGTCTGCCCCTGTGAAGTCACAGAACCCCCCCCAAACAAACGCTCACACACAAGCAGCACAGCTCCGTCTCTCTCCTCTCTGGTGTCTCATACATTCTGCATGTCGCTCACCCCGCTGTGTTTCTTTGTGTCAGCTCCCCTCCCCTCCCCTCCCCCCCTCCTCATCTCTGTAACCTTGGCAAACGTCCTGGGAAAGAAAAAGAGGGATTAACAGTGGCAGTTCAGTTTGTTTCTTCACTGGGGGAAAGGTTTCAGGAGAAGAAGAAAAGATGCTGGTATGCAGGAATGTGCTTTGATAGTTTGGGTTGTGTTTATATGTTGGCAGAGGTGAGAGGACATAAATATTTCTGTGTTCACATATCTGATGTCAGAGCTGCTTTTTTTTCATTTATTTTTGAATTCTGGAGACATGTCAGTGCTCCAGGCAGGAGGTCATGCTGACTGCAGTGTGCTCTTTAAAAGATACAGAGTGTGTGTGTTTTAATAATCCTGCTGATATCCTGCACGGCCTTGACCTTGTTGTTTTCTGTTTACACGAGCACTTAGCGTCTGTCGGTGTCAGCGTGTAGTCTGAAAAAAGGTCAGAGAAAGGAAAAGAAAAATATTCAGGGGTAACAACTCAGGTTAGGTCGCTATAAACGCAGAGAAGAAACGATCATATTTTAACATTTATTTTAGAAAAGATACTCGTGGTTTTAGTTTCATCTGATACAAAAAAACAACAACATTCATGCACAGTCATTCTCTCGGGTGCACAGCCAACAGATCTTCAGTGACACCAAATACTGCTGAGCAACCTGAGATAACAGTGTTATCTAGCACACACATAACCTCACAATACGCCCCCCCCCCCCCCCTATTTTTTTACAGTCACTTTGAGCTATTGAACCCTGAAACAGAGGTCAACATGCATGTGTCTGTGATAAAAACAACATGTGAACTGTAAGAAAACTGTACAAGGAAGACGTAATAAACAAAACTTTTAAAAGAACGGGTTCACTAAAGTATAAATCATTCTTTGATACACGAGTTACAGTTTGCAGAGCAGGAAGCTGCAGCTGTGTCTCCGTGATGCCTTCACTGACCGAGCTGTCTCCGTGATGCCTTCACTGACCGAGCTGTCTCCGTGTTGCTTTCACTGACCGTGCTGTCTCTGTGTTGCCTTCACTGACCGAGCTGTTGCCTTCACTGACTGAGCTGTCTCCATGTTGCCTTCGCTGTCTCCGTGTTGCCTTCGCTGTCTCCGTGTTGCCTTCACTGACCGTGGTGCTGTCTCCGTGTTGCCTTCACTGACCGTGGTGCTGTCTCTGTGTTGCCTTCACTGACTATGGTGCTGTCTCCGTGTTGCCTTCACTGACCGTGGTGCTGTCTCTGTGTTGCCTTCACTGTCCGAGCTGTCTCCGCGTTGCCTTCACTGACTGAGCTGTCTCCGTGTTGCCTTCGCTGTCTCTGTGTTGCCTTCACTGACTATGGTGCTGTCTCCGTGTTGCCTTCACTGTCCGAGCTGTCTCCGTGTTGCCTTCACTGACCGAGCTGTCTCCGTGTTGCCTTCACTGACTGAGCTGTCTCCGTGTTGCCTTCGCTGTCTCTGTGTTGCCTTCACTGACTATGGTGCTGTCTCCGTGTTGCCTTCACTGACCGAGCTGTCTCCGTGTTGCCTTCACTGTCCGAGCTGTCTCTGTGTTGCCTTCACTGACCGAGCTGTCTCCGTGTTGCCTTCACTGACTGAGCTGTCTCCGTGTTGCCTTCGCTGTCTCTGTGTTGCCTTCACTGACTATGGTGCTGTCTCCGTGTTGCCTTCACTGTCCGAGCTGTCTCTGTGTTGCCTTCACTGACCATGGTGCTGTCTCCGTGTTGCCTTCACTGTCCGAGCTGTCTCCGTGTTGCCTTCACTGACCGAGCTGTCTCCGTGTTGCCTTCACTGTCCGAGCTGTCTCTGTGTTGCCTTCACTGACCATGGTGCTGTCTCCGTGTTGCCTTCACTGTCCGAGCTGTCTCCGTGTTGCCTTCACTGTCCGAGCTGTCTCCGTGTTGCCTTCACTGACCGAGCTGTCTCCGCGTTGCCTTCACTGACCGAGCTGTGGAATAACACACAAAGGAAACATCATTACTTCACAGCGTTTCTTTGTTCTACCTGTCAATCCGGATATTTAAAAGATGAACCTAAGTGCAGAACTCTTTTGTAACTGTCCATCACTGTTAAAAGTCCCAACAGCTATGTGTTATCACATGTGACCACCAGGTGGTGCCATTCAGACGGTGTAAGGATATCTGCTCATGTGGAGCTTCATGCTGCTCACACACAAACGTTCATGTGAGCTGTTGTTGATGTTTTGATGATCTCTGCTCAGGTAGAAGTTTGGACGAGGACAGAAACACATTCAGCGCGTCATTAGAGGACTGTTGAGAGACTTTCAGCATCGTGTGTTTTTGTCCTCTGGAGACGGATTGAAAAAGTCTGGACAGGTGGAAAAACAACAACATGCAGACATACTGCTTACAATGACTCCATGAGGAGACTATTAAAAAACTCAACACTGTCCATGCACTGTCCAGAACTCCTTTATTATTCTGCTGACAAATCCCAGTCATCGATCTGTGAATTCCAGTCACCCCTGTGGAGACACCGGTGCAACTGTCTTTTAAAATATCGGTGCTGTTTTGTCTGTTTGTTTGTCTTGTAGTATGAAGATCCACAATTATCCACAAATTCAAGCCAAAACGCGTCGGTCTGATTTGTTACTAAAGCTGATCTTCATACTAAAAGTGTTGATGGACTTTCACTCTTCATGTACGTTGGTCGTTGGTGAAAGCGTGACAGAAAAACCCGACTCTGTCTTTTTCAGTGTTTGTCTTTTTTCAACTTGTTGTTTTCACTCGTCGGAAATCAGGGAGAGAGAGTTTCAGAGTAAATGCAAAAATCAAATCCCAAACTGATTGGGAGCTTCTGTTGGATTTGAATCCCTCACAGCACACACACATGACATGTTGCTTACAGTGAGACAGAGGATCATCAGGAGTGTGTGTGTGTGGAAGGACATCACACCAGGTACATGCTGCGTCTTTTCATGAACATCAATCACTGTGATTTTTTAATGTTTAACTAATTTTTATGATCTGTCTATCAGGGATGACGTGATTGGATTGTGAGGAACATTTCCGTGCAAACAGACGATAAAGTCTTATCTCATCTTATCTTATCTCTTATTAGCACGGAGGACGAGGTGCTGCTGATAGCGATTCTACAATTCTCTTAGCAGACTCTTTTCTCCAAAGCGACGTACATCAGAGAGTAAGAACAACACAAGCAAGGATCTAGAAAAAAGGGAACAATGTGAGTAAGAGCAAACGATCAGCTTTGAGTCTGATTGGACACACAGGTGCTGACAGGAAGTGACCAGAGGCAAAGCACAACATTGAGGGCAGTTCTTGAGAGCTCTAATCAGTATAGAAACCATCTTATAAGTCGTCATTATCAAACAAAAACCATCGTCATTACCATCATCATCATCAATAATATGGAGACCATCATCATTAAGTTAGTAGGTATTCATGAAAGAGCTGGCTCTTTAGCTTTTTCTTAAAGGTGCAGAGGGACTCTGCAGATCACATGGAGTTTGTAAGTTCATTCTTCCACCGGGGGGCGACAGAGGAGAAGAGTCTAGTCAGCGAGATGATGCTCATTTCAAATCTGCGGCACGCCAGTGTATCTGTGACTCAGCATGTTCTCTGACTGCTGATGGTGATATCAGACACACACTTTTATAGTAGAGTAGTCATGGAAACGAGGAAAGTGGGGGTTTTGGTTTCCATCAAACAACAGAGAAGTGTCAAGTGGTGGAGACCAAAAACTGAGCAACTACTGTATGGCTTTGCATTTATCCAATCAAATCTCCAAATGAAAGACAAAGCTGCTGTGTGTCTGCTGCTTTAGTTAGTATTTAAAGGCTTGATGTGATTTTTTAATCCAGCTGATGTCGCCCTTGAGCTCCAGCATGAAACCAAAACAACTGCGCTGCATTGTTGTGTTAGCATGCTAATGCTAGCGATCTTTATTATGCTGGTATCTTTACACTGCATGTAAATTTACCTGAAATGAGCGTGATCTAGAAACACAGTTAAGCAGTGAGTACAGTATGTTATTCTTCTTTTCTCTAGTCCCTCAATTAAACAACTTTTATACACGAGGGGAGGAGTCAGCCGGCCGTCCGGGCGATGTAAACAAAGTGAAGATAGGACTCTGAAAACTCTGAAAACATCACAGACAGTGGGACTCGGGTGTTACACCCATTGTAGACAGTCATGACTCACAGAGTTATTTTCAGAGGAGAGACTTGATTTCTACATTTAAGAGTGAAAAACCACATATAAAGACTTTAACTAACAGGAAACTGGATCACAGAGTCAAAGTGAGGTCCTTTGACTTGAACGACAGATTTAATTTATCTTCAGTTTTTTCTTTGGATGTAAAAATTAAAATGCATCTGATGTCAAACTAAACTTGGAATCCTAAAAAACTGACCTTCAGAGCTCAGTGTCCTCGATGGCCTCTGGTTCGTCCAAGGTGTCCAGACGTCTCTTACAGGCGTCTAAAAGTTTCTTCCTGGGCCCCAGTGGGATGTGGATGCTGCTGAGGTCCTGATCTGAACAGAGCAGCAGAGCCTCCAGGTCGATCTTCTCCCTCCTGAAGATCTGAATGAACTCCCCGAGGCTCTGAGACGCCAGGAAGGTCTCCAGAGGACTGCTCTCCGGCTCGAAGTCCTCGTCCAGACTCATGTCGGCCTCCTCCCAGGGCAGCTCCTGGAGGTTCCTCTCCTGCAGGCTCAGAGCGCTGCCGATACTGTCCTCGTCAAAGCTCGGCGAGCGTCGAGGCAGCTGTCCTCGTAGGCGAACGTTAGGTGCCCGTCCCACGGGTTCGCTTCCCGCCACGCTCCCCTCGGCGCCCGTTCCAAACATCCCTCTGGTCATGTAGCTCCTCCTGAACACCATGGTGCCCAGCCCGGGCCGGGTAAACAGGGAGTCGCGTCCAGAGTCAGCGCTGATCTCGGAGTAAGCGGCGTCATACAGACCCGGGTCGCTCAAGGCGCGGGAGACGGTGTCCGCGTCGTCATCGTCGCCATCTCGAGGGAACATGTCCCGGATGTTTAGGCGCGAGCGTTCCTTGGGGTTGGCGTACGTGCCCTGCTTGAGGAACATGACGTCGTTGCCGAGCTGCAGGCCGGACAGCGAGCGCACGCTTTTCCTGCCGTCCTCGTAGATCTTGAACGTCCCGTCGACCTGCTTCTTCTTCTCCAGCTTCTTCTGGATCTTGGCCTTCCCCTTGGACGTGGAGTACAGCGTGGCCTGAGAGAAAAGTTGGACAGAATTAATCTCTGCTCTCTATCTCTATCTTTTTTTGTTTGTTTTCTATTTTATTTTTATTTTTATTTTTAGTATTTATTAATATTCATATTTATATTTATATTTATATTTATATTTATATTTATATTTATATTTATTTTTACTTTATATTTATTAAATTAAAAACATTTAATCCAATGTAGAATTGTGGAAACCTCAATTTGCATTGAACATAGGGGCTATATCCCCCCCTTATCTTTTTTTTGTTTGTTTTCTATTTTTATTTCTATTTCTATTTCTATTTCTATTTTTATTTTTATTTTTATTTTTATTTTTACTTTATTTTTAATATTTATATTTATATTTATATTTATATTTATATTTATTTATTTGTTTTAATTTATATATATATATATATATATATATATTTATTCATATTTATTTAATTTTTTCTCGCTCTCTCTTATTTAATTATTTTTTATGTGTATGTATGTCTGTGTATTCATTTCTTAAGATGTTGCTGCTTCTTTTCTTGGGGGAAGTTTCTTTTCTGATTCATTCAACATCTCATGTTGAAAACACGTTTTTTGGAATGAAATAACCAAATGACTGAAGCAACTCTTTGAAAAAAAAAAAAAAAATCTCTGCTAAGAAAGAGAAGACTGAACGGAGACATCAACCTTAAAGATGAACCACCTGTGAGTATGGCACGTTGGAGGTGACCGTGTTGAACTTGCGGCTCAGCGTGCTGCCGCTGGTGTAGCTCGAGAAGCTAATGGCGTCCATGTTGTCTAAGGCGGCCGAGTCCTTCATGAACCTCTTCTCCATCCGCTCTCGGTGCTTCCTCTGCAGCTTCGCGCAGTCCTTGATCCGGCGCTCCGCGGCCCGAAACGCCCGGTCCTTCAGCTTCCCCACCAGCTTGGGGTTGAGCGTGATCTGCTTTGCGGCGATGGAGTCCAGGTAGCGCACGCAGTCCATGTGTCCCTTGGTGGCGGCCATGTCCAGCGGGGTGTGGTAGTCGTTGTCCAGACACCACATGTTGGCACCGAAAGCCACAAGGAAGGACAGGCAGTTGTGGTGGCCGTTGGCCGCGGCCAGGTGGAGCGGCGTGTTTCCCCAGATGTCACACCTGTCAGGGTCACCTCTGGGAGACACAGGACGAGACGAGAAGAGCTTTCACATCACTGAATTTGTCTGTGTTTATGTTTGTATTTATTTATTTATAACTTGTTTTTTAAGACCTTAAAGTCTGAATTTGAGATTTTAAAAAGACTCAAACCCAGGGCGCCTCTGCACATAGGGTGTGACCTAACCACTAGGCCATCTGCGCCCCCACTTGATGTGTATTTTGATATTATAGTTTGACCCATCTGTTAACATGGAGGAAGCGGAGCTTATGACCTATACTGCAACCAGTCAGCAGGGGGAGCTCTAAACCTTTTTGCACTGAAAGTTTTCTTCACATTTTGAGACAACAAAGTTCACAATGTTCACAGCACAGATTTAAAAAAAAAGAAAAGAAATGACCAACTCATGAATTAGATCATCTTCTCTCATGACTCAGTGCAGTCTGAGGTCATTTGTGGCGTCGAGGAAGACTTAACCCGGTTCTTTGAGAAACTCAACCTGACTGTGCTGATCCCCTTACAGACTGAACTCAGGGCGTAAAATGACTCACTCGACCAACCACCAGAATAACAGAGGAATATTTTCACTCCATGCTCTGTGGTTGTGTGTAACCCAGAATACAACAGAATGCTAATATCACACTTTCCTAATTGTTTTTACATTTATGAAGCTAAAATGAATCCAAAGAGAAGATATTTCAAAAGAAGAACGTGCAACTTTTTGATCCAGTAGAGGTCGCCCTTGAGCTCCAGCATGAAACCAAAACAAACTGCTGTTTAGCATCCTGAAGCCTCCGCTCTCCTCCAGCGACACACCTCCTACCCCCTCTTCACTCTCGTTCAAACGAAGGAGTAATGAAATGGAACGCATTAAACACCGGCAAACGCTGCAGGGCTGTCGGGAGAAGAGAGCCTAAGTAGAGGCTTAAAGCTGTCTGGTGAAATTCTCTGCAGACATTTCCTGGTATTACTCCAACATATGTTTACCTCATGATCTGAAACTTTGCACATGTTTAGTTTGAGCATCAGACATTGTTACACTTTATGAGTTTTAAAATTCAACTTAAACAACAGATTTTTGTCACTAATAAATGTCCAACATTTTGAGTTGTCCACACTCTGCATCCTACAGTCAGAGGCCGGCTTGTCAACAGTCAAGGCGAGCAGCTGCTTGGGCTTTGGGATCCCCGAGGACTTTAAACCAAAGCAGCGGCTCAAAATGTGCACATTTTTCCAATGACAGGAGGAAACCTCCCTAATGGAGCCCCATCTGACATTTCTGACTCTCATTGCCCTGCTAAGCATCTCATGCATTACTCCTCTGAAAAAGTTTGTCAATGAAAAGCACTGAAGGAGAAAAAAAAGAGGAGGAGCATCAGGACCCTGGTGGATATAATGGTGGGTGGCCCCTAATTCATTTTGGCCTCGGGGGGACCCGTCCACAGACTCTAGGATCGCCACTGCCTCCAGGTCAAAGTTCAGCTTGTGTAACAGGATGAACTGTGGGTGCGTTCGATTGTCCCTTCTATCTCCTCTCACTATCCACTTCACCTTTAACCCCAGAAGCATTTAAGAGGCGGCCATGATAAGAGTCGTTCGAATTCTCTAAAAGTTAAGGAAAGGTGGATCAATGCTTCCTTTATAACCTCCTTTAGGATACACTGAACCATCCTTTACCAAAGGAGATGAGATATGATGCCCCACAATTCCTTGCGGCCGCAACATTTAAAGCGAGTCGCTCATCCGACCGTTCAGGAACATTAACGATGATCGTAAAGAGATAAAAGATAAGAGACATTTTTATCAGATGATGTTTGATTCAACATATTTCATTCTCTTAAGGATGCTGTGTAGTTGTACATTTGTATGCTTAAAATATTATGTGTAGGTTATATCTTACATTAATGTAACAATTAATTTCATATTGATGTTGATGTTGATTTCTGATTGGACAGGAAGCTGATGGTTTCACTTTTCTTACTTGTAGTCTGGTAGTCTATATTTCTTTTATTTCAATCCCAACCTCGTGGTGATCAGGATTATTTCACCGGTAAGAAGCACAGAAAGAGTTTTTTAGATGTGTTTTTTGTAGTCCATTTTCTGAACATTGTAGTTTTAACACGGCAGACCCACGTCATTAACCTCCGCCGGCCCGTCGCATTTAATGACGTGGCCTAGTGGAAATGCGGTCGGATTGTCAGAGCAACGAGATCGCCTTTCCCTAAGTCCTTTATGAATTCTCCTAACACCTTTCCTTGACCTCATGACGTTTTCCTCGGGGTTAAGGTGAAGTGGATAGTGAAGGAGATAGGAGGGACAATTCGAACACACCCTGTGTTTGTATTGACCTCAGGCTCCTCCTCTTCCTGTTTGAGTCCTGATGAATAATTAAAGGTGTGCTGGTTAAACATGACAGAGGTGACTCTGCATTATTCACACTCTGCAGGGTCACCACCTTTATGAGCATGGACCTGATTTCTGCTGCAGCCTGGCAACACTGAAATGTATGACATCATCAGAGATCAGATCCAATATTAAGAGTTTATTTTTAGCTTTAATAAGTTTCCATGTCAGCTGAAGGAAATTATCAGATGAAATTCCAAACAGGGCAGAAATGTATCACAGTAGTAACACCGGGGAGGAATCACACCAAACTGTGTCAAAATGTAACTCGACCTTCTTCAGCTCTGCCAGCAGCTCGGACTCGAGGGCGATACATGAACCGCAGAGAGAGAGGCGCTGTTTATGGCAACATGTGAGGAAGAGTTTCACACTTCACACTCTCTGAGGTCTCATGGGAGAACTATCTGAGGGCGCCACAAAATGTCAAAAAAAAATCATCTGCTAACTCCTTAATCACAAAGTCCACTTCGTGAGGTCGTACATTTCAAAATCGATTGGAGCACCATCCTGTTTTAATGCTAACGGTGGCTTTTAGCTCTACAAAAAAAAAGGTGGTATCCGTCCAGCGTTTTGTTCCAGACTGAACAACAACTGTTAGAAATCTGCTGTGAAAGTTTCCACAGACATCATGATCCCCTCAGGATGAGGCATACTGACTTTAGTAACCCTCTGACTCTAAAGTAAGAATGTGCGACTTTTTGATCCAGTAGATGTCGCCCCTTGAGCGCCAGCATGAAAACCAAAACAAACGTATTTGGCCACGCCTCCTCCATACTGAAGCCTCCGCTCTCCTCCAGAGACACACCTCCACCCCTCTTCGCTCACATTCTCATGAAGGAGTTATCAATAAAAATGCACCATAAATCCACTCTGATCCTGTATTTGATCATGTCTATAAACCCCTCTATTTCAGCCCTGCTCAGAACAGGCTGTTTCTGTGTCTGTACCTTTAAATATGTAAATGAGCTGTGTCTGACCACGCCCCCCTCTCTGGAAGGTGCTTGAGTGTACTCGGTCTTTCTCGCTCCATGTCCTATTTTTTACGGTGAGAAGGCAGACTCAGAGGGCAGAACAAACACCTAGCTGTGGGAGTGTCACCCACCTGGGGGAGGGGCTACTACTGCCCTTTGTGATGTCATGAAGGGAAAATCTACAAACGGCCTGTTTGAGCACACATTTTCTGAAAAGTGGAGCAGGCAGAAGACAGAGAGGATGGACTTTTCTCATCATTGGGGGGTTTGTAGACGGACTAGAGACACATGTTAGAGTTAGAGGAACATGGAGAAGAGGATTTAGCAGAACATGAGACCTTTAAATATGGATTTAAGTTTCTGACATGACGACTATATTACACAATTAACAGGGCTGTAAATCAAAGCTTTTAAACTGAATTAAAACAGTAATTAAATACACTGGTTTCTGTTGAACCGGTCAGACCTCGATAGATAAAGCATCTCCACTCTGTCCTCGGCTCAGTTTAAGTCGTCTCTTTCGCTTCACTTCCTCTCTGCTCTGAATCCTCCAGAGACGGTTACAGGAGGAGGAATCTCTCTCCATCACTGTGACCTTTCCCCGTGTCTGCACTCACTGCACCACATCGAAATCCATCGAGTTACTGCTGCTTTATAAACCTGCCACCAGCTGGGTGACTTACTCCAGTCTGCTGTTAACAACATTATGCTGCATGATGGCTGCTCGCCATGGTGGTCTCACGACTGGTCCAGAGACCACTTTTTGAAGGTCTCGTCTTGGTATGAAAAGTATTTTTACACGGTCTTGTCTCGGTCTCAGAGCGGGCGCACCTCTGATCGGCTTTATCTCAGATCAGATCATAAGGAAAACTCCTCTTTCTAAAAGAACAAATCACATTAATTCATTCATAATTTGATTTTTATCCCCCGGTTACGGCTGCCCCCTAACACAAGATGATTTCTCAAACCTGCATTGGTCTTGGCCCTCGATCCCTATATGGCACAAACCTGGGGCAGATAGTTGTAGACATGTGGATAAACCCCTGCAGGCTTTTCATTACTCTATGTATGGGCACCAAATCTTAAATCAGTAAATCATAGTTTAAGAAAATCAGGATTTTCTCTAACTTTTTTTGTCAGTCCCCTCAGGCTCCTCTGGTTCATATCCCCCCCCCCTCATTTACTTCCTACAGAGTGGCCACAAGTCGCTCTGCCTCATGCCTACGTTTGCTGCACCCTGAAACTACACAGAACACTTTAAAACACAAGTTAACAGCTCACCCTTTAATCCCAGAAGAGAAACCCAGGTGACTTTACTTTTATTTTAATAATAAAAGCAAAACTTGTTTTAAGTCATTTGTTTGTCATTTTTATTTATTAATTTTTTAGAAGAATAAAAACATTAAAATCGTAAATCGAGAGTGTTGTGAAAAATCTGAGACAGTGACAGCTTAATGTTAATGTTCCTCATGTGGAAACAGGGGGGGGGGGGGGGGGGTCCTGCTGCAAAGTGACCTTTTCAGAGTCATTATAGCGTGAAGATGTCAAACCTCCATCTCCTGCTGCCCTGATTAGATTAGAGATGGAGGCGAGAACGATGAGGCACGATGGTTTTATCCTCCAGTCTGAGGAGGACTGAAGGTGTAAAAACACATTTAAATAATGTTTCTTTGTGGAAAGCTTCAGGATTATAAAGACTTTTTTAAGGTTTAAAATGATGTTAAGAAATGCCTGATTAGGGGCGCTGTAGTGGTCAGGTCGCAACCCCCCGTACAGCCCGGGTTCAAGTCCGACCTGTGGCTCCTTTCCTGCATGTCATTCCCCTCTCTGTTTCACAATTTCCCCAAAAATATCTTAGTCTTGTCTCGGGGCCCTCTGGTCTCAGGTGTATCTTGGTCTCGGTTAATGTGGTCTTGACTAAAACACTCATTCGGTTTAAATTGCTGAAAGAAAAGTTGTTTTTCTCAACAACAACAAAAAACACACCTTTCATTCAAACTACTAACAATCTGTTAACAACAGGGCCATCTCTGGTTAGCTTACAGTTCAGATTAATGCATTAGTTCAGGCTTGCCCAACCTTGGGGTCCAGACCCAATATGGGGTCGCATGGAATTCAAACAGGGTCGCCTGAAATGTCTAATTATTGATCAATAAGACATTTTAGCATTCTGCCTGAATGAAGCTACAAGACGTTATCCAGTTTAGTTTGAGTTTCTCATGTTAACAATAACAGAGCTGCAGTATCTCTGTCTGTCTCTCATTCATCCATTCATGCAATCATCTCCAGTCGTGTTGATGCACGCTCATCACCTGGCTGTAAACACCTGAGAAAAATACAAAAATCCTCTTTTTGTGCACCGATCTGATCCACAATGAACATGAAACAGCCTCAAAGTGGTCTTAGAAAAAGCTATCACAAGATTGATTAAATAAAAGTTTTATCATGAAGCTGTCTGTGTGGGTTTTTTGTTTTTATGTCCGAGGGTCTCCAGAAGTCAAAGTGGGGTCACAAGACAAAACAGGTCGAAAACCTTCTTCTCAGAAAAAGTTTTTGATTTAGAGAGTTAAAATATGAATGTTTCTCTTCAGAATAAAATAAAAAAAGGATGTTTGTTCCAGTAAAAGCAGATTAAAACGTAGCAGGAGAGAGATGTGTTTAGGCTGACTGGTCTGCATTAGTTTATGAAAGTGTCTGTGCTGTATTATTGTTATTGTTGTGTTGTTCGGTAAACCGGGTCAGAATCTGGTCCCAGGTTTCAGGACTCACCCTCTCCCCACGATGAGCCGGAGCGCCTCCAGGTTGCCGTGGTAAGCGGCCCATAGGGTCGGTGTCATCCCATCCTCATCCGGGGCGTTCAGGTCCTTCCGTGTGGCCTCCTTCAGCACGTCCAGGTAGCCGTCCCGGGCCGCCCGGTGGTACCGGTCGTTCATGGCGGCGGCCTCGGCTCACTCCGAGTTCGGTTCCATGGTGGGTAATCCCGGGGTGGGGTTTTGCCCCCCGTTATTTCACGGGATCTTGTTCCGAACCGGACGGCCTGAGAGCGGCACGGAGCGAGCGAGCTGACAGGCTGGTTGTTAGGGAGACGAACACGAGGAGGGCTGGTTGTCAGGGGCGCGTCATCATAGCCACGCCCCTTTTCAACTCTACATTTAAAACCGTGTAAACAGAGAAGGCTGTAACACATCAGGATAGGAGAAAATATAATAAATAACAGAACAAATTAAATGATATTTAGCCCATTTACTTAATACCCAACATGTGTTTAATATTTATGCTTATCATCGAGTGTTGAATTACAATTCATCTGTTTCTGTAGCTGTAAATATTCATTTTTATTAGTATAATAGAATAAAATACAATTACTTTATTGATCTCAAACTGGGAAATTGTGGCGTTACAGCAGCAGGTTGTCCAAAAACACAATATTGGCAAATTTAAACACAATATAATATAAATACAAAGTAAATAAACACCAAAAATATCAAAACTAAGAATGGGAATATATACAACCAGGATTTAACATTGCATCTAAAGAGACACACACACCCAGCTGAGAGAGCTGGTTTCTACAGGGTCACAAACCTCCTCTGGTGCTTGATTCATGTTATATTTTGACCAAAGCACAGATGTTTCATTTAGACCACAGGAGACTGTTTGAAAAGGTGGAGGAGGGACTGTTTGAAAAGGTGGAGGAGGGACTGTTTGAAAAGGTGGAGGAGGGGACTGTTTGAAAAGGTGGAGGAGGGGACTGTTTGAAAAGGTGGAGGAGGGAACTGTTTGAAAAGGTGGAGGAGGGGGATGATATGTCCTCTTTAAATTCTAGATTCTGTCATCTTTCATTGGGGGCTCCTCCAGCCAGCATTCACAACCATCATGTCTTCTAGTGTCCTACCCTCTAATCTTTCTTCCTGTTTCTTTTTTCACTCCCACTCAGATAATTCCTCTTCATTTTCCCCCTTGCCGACATTCATGGAAAAACCTTTTCCACAGCAGTCGGGTGTGCCTGAGGCTGTGCAGAGATAAGAGGGAGGTTATTTTTACTTGTCCGTTCCTGGTGTTGAATGTATGCAAACATTACCTGGCAGGGGGCCCTTATAGTATTGAACCCTTTCAAAATAAAGCGACATCGCTGAGGTTTGGAGTGCAGGTAAACAAACATTCTTTCAGGGTTATGCGGCCGTGAAGCAAACTTTGCTCAGGTGCACGTCAGGTGTAAATAAGGTAAACTATGAAAGGTAAACATGACACATGTCACACTCTAACCATGAAAGGGGTGTGGATAATAAAACAGGCCGCACCTAAACCAGTGCTGAAGGGGAAATCAGTTGCAGCTTTTAGATTCATGCCTGCACATGTTGAGCTACAGGATCGAAGCAAAGGTAAGAAAAGCTGACACTTGAATGGAAAACAGAAGAGGAAGAAGAAGCAAAGTGAGAGGGATTTCAAAAGAAGGACAAAAACAAGCATGAATACGGATTCAGATCCCGGAGGAGTCATAGAGCTGGATTCACCTGCTGATGAACCGGTTCAGAGCTCAGAACATCAGAATGAGGAGCATGACTCGGACTCGGTGGTGCTTTGGGTTCCCACTGGAAGACGTCTGGTCTCGGGTCTGCTGGGTCTGAACGCGGTGCTGCTGGGGGCGGCTCTGTTGGTCGGGAATGCTTTGAACCCCACGGCGCTGAAGAACCTGGAGCCTCAGGTGTTCCTGCTGCTGCTGATGGGGGTCAGCGTGGTCTGGATGCTGTGGTACCTGCTGTGGGCCCGGAGACAGCCCGGCTTCTGCACACACAAGGACCACCATGCCGGGGGAGGCCCTGTCACCTGTAAGCATCCCGTCTATTACCTTATCAAGTACCACATCAGGGAGATTGTTGTTGGTGATGCATCTTATAGTAAACTCCCTCACTTTTCACAACACTATGCGATCTCGTCCCCGTCCATAACGCTGTGTTAAAAGAAGAAATGTGTATCTTCTGTCGTCCTGTTCTGGTCCAGTTGTCGTCCATCTCTTTGCTGTGTTCAGTCTGCTGCTGTACGTCTGCAGGATCGGATATTTCATCAACACGAGGGCGTGTAAACCTGCTGCTCAGGTGCTCTCTCCGTTCATCGAGGCTTTGTTTCTCACTCTGCAGGTATTTACATCAGTCAACACTTCAGCTGCCGACTGGTTCTCTCACTCACTCACTCACTCACTCCAACCAAGGAGGCCAACAACCAAGTAGTTTTCAGCGTCTGACCACTCAGAGGGCAGAACAAACACCTAGCTGTAAACCCCCTCTATTTCAGCCCTGCTCAGAACAGGCTGTTTCTGTGTCTGTAGCTTTAAATATGTAAATGAGCTGTGTCTGACCACGCCCCCTCTCTGGAAGGTGCTTGGGTGTACTCTGTGCTTTCTCGCTCCATGTCCTATTGTTGACGGTGAGAAGGCAGACTCAGAGGGCAGAACAAACACCTAGCTGTGGGAGTGTCACCCACCTGGGGGAGGGGCTACTGCCCTTTGTGATGTCATGAAGGGAGAATTTCCAAACGGCCTGTTTGAACACACATTTTCTGAAAAGTGGAGCAGGCAAAAGACAGAGAGGATGGACTTTTCTCATCATTGGGGGGTTTGTAGACAGACTAGAGACACATGGTGAAGAGGATTTTGCGTCATATATGACCTTTAAACTTTTGCAATGTGCGAGCAACTCTCTGTGTTGTGTCCTCTTTATGTTTCCTTATGGAATAACTTCTTTCTGTTTTTCTCTTGTAGACATATTTACTGTGGGCTCACTCCAAAGACTGCGTTCAAAAACACAAGATCATCACCAGGTGCATCCCTCTGTTGTCTGTTTCAGTACATGTTGAATGATTATTAAAAGTTGGAAAGAGATGATTACTAGCTCTAGGTGTGTGATTGTTATTACTGTCATTCTAATTTCCTCCTGTCATATTTGAACATTTATTTATGTTTGAATGGTTCTACTTGCTGCAGGTTGGGTCTGATGGTGATCCTCTCGGCTGACCTGCTGCTGTGGCTGAACGCGGTGACGGAGGAAACCATCCACGTGGAGATGAAGTTGGAAAAAGAGGGCGGTCTTCATGTCAGCAGCAGGAACTCATCAGAGTTAGCAGGTAGTTACAGGCCATTTGTTTCATTTTGTTTTTATAGTTTGGGGCCTAAATTACTTGAAGAAAAGAAACAAGAAGTTTTCTAATTTCTACTAAAAATCACCCTCAGTAGAACGCCGCTAAGCCACAAGGATTCATCTAAACTAACAGAGCAGAATCACATCAAAGCCCCCCGTCTGTTCCTGCAGGGGGCGCTGGAGTCCCATCGATGGCGTGCCCCGTCTGTTCCTGCAGGGGGCGCTGGAGTCCCATCGATGGCGGTCTCCATGCTGGAAATGCTGTCTCAGTCTAACTTTCAGTCAACCTAACGACAGGCTGAGAGCTGGAGCTGAGGCGGGTTTTAAACCTCCTGATGAACCGTTACACCGCGCCCACCTGTCAATCAGGTCAGCTACACGCCTTATTGTAAATAACTCTTATCCTTCATCAAATCAAAACTGATGAGTCATCAAAACATTCACCCCCCGTACAGTGTGTGTCCATCCAGACATGAGCTAATCACACCTATTTGGTTTTTTGAACCAGGCTGTAAACATGTTCCAAAATGTTTTGTGCCTCAAAACGTGTCAAATATAGGGCGCTGGTTTAGCTCAGTTGGTAGAGCTGGCGCCCGATGAACAGACGTTAGTCTTTGTCACACTGGTTGCAGCCTCAACTACCGCTCCTGACGCTGCCTCCCCTAACTCTGTCCGTCTCCCCACATTTATCTTCAGCTGTCCTATCGAATAAAGGCAAAACCCCCCAAAAGAATCTTTGCAAAACATCAAATATTTGGTGCTAGTTTAAAGGCTTTATATGTGATTTTTTGATCCAGCAGATGTCGCCCTTGAGCACCAGCATGAAACCAAAACAACTCGCGCTGCATTGTTGTGTTAGCATGCTAATGCTAGCGATCTTTATTATGCTGGTATCTTCACACTGCATGTAAATTTACCTGAAATGAGCGTGATCTAGAAACACAGTTAAGCAGTGAGTACAGTATGTTACTCTTCTTTTCTCTAGTCCCTCAATTAAACAACTTTTATACTCGAGGGGAGGAGTCAGCCGGCCGTCCGGGCGATGTAAACAAAGTGAAGATTCGACTCTGAAAACTCTGAAAACATCACAGACAGTGGGACTCGGGTGTTACACCCATTGTAGACAGTCATGACTCAGAGTTATTTTCAGAGGATAGACTTGATTTCTACATTTAAGTGTGAAAAATCACAGATTAAGACTTTAAAAAAGGGAATCAGTTTTTAAGTATCTTCTTCTGTGATCGCTTCCAGGATTTGCAAACTCGACTTCCTGCCACTGCAGAGTGAGCGCCGCCTGCCTCGTCTTCAGGAAAGCCATTGAAATCCTCTATCCCTTCCACATGGAGTATTACTTGATGGCGGGCTGCATGATCTACGTGATGTGGAAGAACGTGGGCCGCAGGACGAGTCCAGGTGACCACCACCACGTCGCTCATAAGCTGACCCTCCGTGCGGTCTACGACGGCGAGGTCTTTTACGGCCTCGTGTTCGGCGGCTTGGTCCTCATGGTGGGCGTCGTCATCTTCATCCTCTATCACATTTTTGTGAGCCTGCCCCGCCATCGCCTCACCGCCTTCCTCCTGTTCTACGGTTACCACCTGGCCGTCATGCCCCTCATGTCTCTGTGCAGCCTGGGCGGGACACTCGTCCAGCGGGCGGAGAGGAGGGCGAGCGTCGGGGGGCGCGACCCCACGCGGAGCCTGGACGTGATCCTCCTGCTCGCGACGGCTCTCGGTCAGCTCGCCCTGGCTTACTTCTCTCTGGTTGCGGCGCTCGCTGTGGGGACCGAGGGGACTCTGGGGGACCTGGACCTGTCTTACTCTGTCCTCAGCCTGCTGGAGCTCAGCCTCCAGAACATCTTCATCATCAAGGGGCTTCACAGACACCCGAGCCGCTTCACCAAGAAGAAGGAGAAGCAGTGGAGCAACTTTTTCAAGGTACCTACATTCACAGTTTTATGCTACTTGCTAATCAGCTAGCATCCAGCTAAAGCAATGAAGGTCAGACGTTCATTTTGACATGTTTTGCAGAATATCAAAACTTTGACGATGTGGATCAGAGAGTAAGAACAACACAAGCAAGGATCTAGAAAAAAAGGGAACAATGTGAGTAAGAGCAAACGATCAGCTTTGAGTCTGATTGGACACACAGGTGCTGACAGGAAGTGACCAGAGGCAAAGCACAACATTGAGGGCAGTTCTTGAGAGCTCTAATCAGTATAGAAACCATCTTATAAGTCGTCGTTATCAAACAAAAACCATCGTCATTACCATCATCATCATCAATAATATGGAGACCATCATCATTAAGTTAGTAGGTATTCATGAAAGAGCTGGGTCTTTAGCTTTTTCTTAAAGGTGCAGAGGGACTCTGCAGATCACATGGAGTTTGGAAGTTCATTCCACCACCGGGGGGCGACAGAGGAGAAGAGTCTAGTCAGAGACTTAGGACCCTGTTGTGAAGGTTGGATCAGACGCCTTTCATTGGCAGAGAGTAGTGGGCGGGAGGGAGTGTAGACCTGGACATATTAACATGATAATCCGTCCTACAGCCAAAGAAAAAGAAGGCCGCTGATCTGATCCCTGAGGAGAGGAAGACAGATACCACGGTCCTGGAGGGGAAAACATCAGCTGCTGCTCAAGAGCGTGATGGGAAAAAACCCGGGATGAAACGAGCGATTCAAGAAATCTGTGCGTTCCTCATCCTCTCCAACGTCATGGTAATGTCACATAAAAATAGAAAAAAGATGGTGGGTTTCTGTGTCGTCTTCATTTCCACGGTTGATCTATGTGGTTTTTTTGGGCAGCTGTGGATCATCCCCGCGTTCGGAGTCCACCCTCAGTTCGAGAACGGCATCGGGAAGCGGTTCTTCGGCTTCAGCGCCTGGTTCGTTCTGGTGAACCTGAGTCAGCCGCTCGGCGTTTTCTACAGGATGCACTCGGTGGGCGCTCTGATGGAGCTGCTCCTCGATGCATGATGAGCAGACACCAGACCCCCAGAACTAAACGGATCAGGGACTTCTTCTTCTTCTTCAAGGAACTAAAAGGTTCCTGTGGCCCATTGTTGTCAACATTTCCACCGCAGGATGGTCCCCCCCTCCCCCATTCCCCCCGCTGGCCCAAGAACTGGACTTTAGGGGTGTAGCATGCTTAGGTACGATACAGATTGCCTGGTGAAAGAGTACTGGTCTAGAGTGAGAAGAATAAGAACTGGATACCCCCTTGAGCCTTTAGGAAGTACTACCCCCCTAGCAGGGTCTTTTTGAGGGGTAGATCTTTTACTCAGGAACTAAATGTAGTCCCTGGTTCCTGCGGTGGAAATGCACCTCAAAAAAGGTTCTTACTTCTGGGTGACAGTTCCTCTTGTCGAAAAGTGACTAACAGCTGTAGAAGAAGAAAACACACACATGGTTGAAGAATTCATGATACATAGTTAGAAATTATTTATTTTAAGACCAAAGCATGTGGACCAGACTACAGAGTCCGGGTCTATAAGGTTCTTCATGGTTTGGAGAAGGGTCCAGCTGCAGTCTGTGTTCGCTTCTGTTTCTTTCTTTTTTTTTTGGCAAATGAAATCCACAGCTGATAAATAAACGTCCCGTCCTCCTTCCAAACACAGGCTGTGTGTGAGACAGAGTGTTTCATGTTGTGAAGAAGACGATTTCTGTGAAACGTTCCTCCATGAAGGTAAAACAGGAAAGAGACTCATGAGGGACTTCTTCAATCCGCTGCTCTAAATCCTCTGGATCTCAAAGAGCCTGATGTCCGTGTCGTACCAGATGGGAGGATCCACGTTGCTACGGCAACAAGAGTCAGAAACAGGTTATTGTTCAAACTCAAAAGCTGTGACAGAAGATGATCTCACTCAGTGACACTTTAAATAAAAAACATAAATCAAACACTGTGTGGTGTTCAGTCGTTTTTACCGTAAGTAGATGACGCCCCACATGTACGTTCTGAACCACATGGCGGTGCCGGCGTTGGCCTGGTACTTCCTGATGAGGATGGGATGAGGGACGGGAAGGAGGCCGACCAGCGTGCCGTGCTGGAGGAACTTTAAGATCTCTGACTCGTCTGTCAAACCCCTGAGGACAAAAACATTTAATATTCAACATCAGAACTGCTCCATCACCTGAAAGCATCTAATCTCAATATGTAACTATGACCCCTAGTGGTTAAAACTGGTACTACAGTCCAAATTCAAAACATTGTAAAGAGCTGTCTCCCCCCCCCCTCCTCTCTAGAGTCCATGCTCACACAGGTCACCATGTGGTGGACTCTGAAGCTTCAGTGTTTATCCAGCTCTGCATGGGTCTGTAAACCTTTCTGTGTTCTAACCTCTTCTTTGACAAAGTTCTTTGACCTGATAACTGCTCTCATATCTGCGGCCGTGTGGGGGGTACCTTAAAAGCGCCTACCTTCTCTGGTCCAAACAAATCCAGAGCATTCAGGAGCAGAATCTAAAGTTAGAAGGAGGACATACTGGCTGCTGCATTGTTGTCAGAGAAGTCAGCACTTCAACATAGCATGTTTCCTTAATGATCAGAGAGTAAGATCATTGCATCATAAGAGTTTGAATCCATCAGCCTCTGAGTTTCTTACTTGTCGATGCAAATCTTCTCCACCTGAGGGACCAGAACTTGTAACAGCCTCATGATGGTCTGAAGAGGGAGCTTCGACTTCCACGACATCACCTGAGATTAAAACACAGAGAGCATGACGGAGGAGAGTGAACACATGAAGAAGTTTGTGTAACCACGGTAACAGCTGGATGGACTTGAACTCACCCAGTCTGGATTGGGGCTCCAGGCTGCTGACGACGACACGCTGGACAGACGACTTCTCCCTGCCTCGGACTCTGAGTGATACGCCTGCTGACAAACAGGAGTCACTTTTAAAAAAGGACACACACACACACACACACACACACACACACACACACACACACACACACACACACACACACACACACACACACACACACACACACACACACACACACACACACACACACACACACACACAACACACACACACACACACACACACACACACACACACACACACACACACACACACACACACACACACACACACACACACACACACACACACACCTCGTGGTCTCTTTCTGAGTTGGACTCGGTGTCGCTCGCTCCGGCTGCAGCTCGGCCGTCAGCGGTCGTCTGTGGAGCCTCTAAATGAGGGACGGCGATCATGGTACCGTCCACACTCACCTGAGACTTCTCTGTTATCTTATCGATACCTGGAAGACGCACAAGGAATCCTTTTTGAACTGCAGGAGGAGACACAATGACTGGAATAGAAGTCTTCTTGCATCATTATAGACATTTCTGTCCATTTGGTCGAATGTTTCCTCTTCATCTGGTCATCATTTTTTGTAAGAAAGTCTCTCTTGACACATTTTGGAATGCATTTTTAATAAATCAATAGAACACTGAAACATGTTTACTAACCTCTGAAGTTACTCAGGACAAAAATGTCCATTTACAAAAAACTGCTTTAAAAATAGAACAGATTGATATTTCTTTCTACTTTTTTCTGCATACATCTCTTAAACAACTTCAGCCCTGCTCAAAACTACCAAACATTCAATCATTATTAGGAATTTAACCCTTTAAATGCCAGTTTGATTACTTGATGTCACTGTTGTTATTTATGAAAAAACCCACAAAAATGAGTTATTTTCCATAAAACAAATATTTGGTGGCTGGGGGATTTTTTTAAAATCAGTCTTGGATATGTCAAAGATTATCCAACATATTGACTTTGATGCATTGTTAGTTTTTGTGTAGCATCAGATTTAAAATGTAGTTCCCTGTTTGGACATCGGAGGGCGGAAATGTCCAATTTACAAAAACTGATATAAAAATAGAACAGATTTATATTTTTTTCTACTTTTTATTTGCATAAATCGCTTTAACAACTTCAGCCCTGCTCAAAAATATCAAATATTGAATAATTATCAGGAATTTAACCCTTTAAATGCCAGAATCATGTAATCAAACTGGCATTTAAAGGGTTAAATTCCTATAAATGATTGAATGTTTGGTAGTTTTGAGCAGGACTGAAGTTGTTTAAGAGTGGTTTTTATAGCAGTCTTTTGGAAGTGGACATTTTTGTCCTTAGTGACTTAAGAGGGTCGTAAATTAAACTGATGCCTGAGGGTTAAAGAAAACATCTTTCTGCAGAGTATCTAAATGTGTATCTATCTCTATATATCTATACCTCTTGTGTGCAGAGGATCAGTATGTAGACATTTACACCCCTCAAAAACAACCATAAGATTTCTCTTTAAATGACCCTCAGTCTGTGTGTGTAAACATCTTTCTGACTTCTCACCTGGAGTGGCCTCTAAGCTGGTTTTAAAGGTGCCCGGCTCGGCAGGTACAGCAGGTCTGGAGCCCTCCATGGACTCGGCCTCTGTAGAGTTCGACCTGGAGATCCCCGTCTTCTTCTTCCTCTGCAGAGCTTTCTGGATGGACGACGTATCGGTCGGCAGGTTGGCCAGCTGGTGGAAAACGTTCCTCTTGCGGATGATGGCGTACACCAGGTTGAAGTTACCTGTGAGGGGAGACGTACTGGTTTTTAAAAGAGCTGAAACCTTTTTTAAACACCTTTATATAGCGCTTAACGGGCCAAAATTACATTAGTGACCTCCTGATTCATTATGAACCATCCAGACCGCTCAGGTCGTCTGGAACAGGTCTGCTCTCTGTCCCCAGAGTCAGAACCAAACATGGAGAAGCAGCGTTCAGTTTCTATCCTCCTTATATCTAGAACAAACTCCCAGAAAACTGCAGGTCTGCTCTTTTACATCCAGGTTAAAGACTCACCTGTTTACAGCTGCCTTTCATTAAACAGCTTTAATAAGATTTTAAACTTTTACTCTGCATTGTAATTATTATTATTATTTTTTAACTCTTTTAATTAATTAATTTTATTTTATTTTATTTTAATTTCATTTGAACATATTTTCAGTGATTTTTAAATGTTCTATTTGAATGTTTCTTTTCTTTCCTCTGTCATGATGCTTTTTGATGTCTTGTGTGAAGCTCTTTGAATCGCCTTGTTGTTGAAATGTGAGATAAATAAACTTCCTTGCCTTGACTTTTTTTTCTTTAGTTGATTTAACTTGAGTTCCTGTCTTTGTTTTTTCTCACCGTCAAACTGATACTGGATGATGTTGTTGAAGACCTCGAGCAGGAAGAAGACCAGGTGGTGGTTCTGAGGGGAGGAGAAGAGGAACCAGGGTGTGGTGAACGCCTCCAGCAGGTGGAGAAGCTTGTTGGCTGCCACCATGGACAGACTCTTCAGATACGGAGAAACTGTGGAGGAGGGGGGATAACAAGTGAACAATGCAGTTCCTCCATTTGTCCACCAGGGGGCAGCAGAGCATGGTGTTGACACTCACTGTTCACTGTGATGGTGAGCAGACATTCAAACAGAGGCTGCAGGCGCTGGTGACCACTGGTGATGATTTTATGGAAGATCTGACGACGACAAGAGAGAGACGACTTCAGACTCATGAACTCACTCAGAGACTTTCAGGAAGTCCACAATGTTTACGTCATCAGAACATGAAAATGAATCGCTGACTGCATAATTTAGTCCTCATGCACTCGATGGTTTGACAGTGGGACAGTCCTAAGCACTCACAAACTTAGCAGGGACGTGACAGTGAGTGTGGAGATTGGGATTCCGCCAATAAAAAGCATGCATCAGGTTTTAGCTTTTGATGTCAGCAGTGCAGCACTAAGAATTATTGTTATTTAACAAGCCTGTTTGATTAAATATTCTGTTTGTGTGCTCTCTTATGAACTCTCTTAAAAATGTGCTTATAACTTTACAATATTTATCATTTTTTTGCAGGAGTGAACAGAGCTGAGGGGGGATACCAACACTCTGAGGTGCATGTGTGGAAAAGCAGATCAGGAGTATTTCAGGGGCGTGTCCTTCAGCTTTGATATCTCTAAATACAGAAATCAAGATTCATCATCTGGGGACATTAAATCTACTGGAGAACAAGCAGACATGTTTTTATCTCACCACAACCAGCAGGTCTGCGTGTGTTCCTGTAAAAACAGGAATATCCATGGGGACCCTCAGAGTGTACGGCTTGTTGAGACGGACGCCGAAGTTTCTCTCTCCGCTCAGCAGCAGCAGGATGAAGACGCCGATGTGCATGAGGCCCACACGAGCTACACACACGCACACGCACACGCACACGCACACACACACACACACGCACACGCACACGCACACGCACACGCACACGCACACGCACACACACACACACACACACACACACACACACACACACACACACACACACACACACACACACACACACACACACTAAAGTGAAAATCTAATCCATGCATGTTAACACTCATCCTGACATTAAGCAGGATACACACTCTTTTGCACAAACACATCACAGTGACTCACACTGATCTGCTCTGGCATCGTTCAGGTTGAAGAGGATGGGAACCAGCACGTCCAGCACGTCGCTGCTCTTCAGCACAAAGAAGAGGAACTTCTAAAAACACACAGACACAAGAAGTCAAAAGAAAAGCTTAGAAAAGTGCGATATAAATCTAATTTATTATTATTATTATTATTATTATTATTCTGTGCAGATACGTTCGCTCCTCACCTTGTTGAAGTCACAGAACTTCCAGAAGAGGATCAGCAGCTCCTGGTGGAACTGGATCTTCTTGGTGGAGCGGGGCAGGTAGGTCTGGAGCAGAGGGTTGTTGAGCAGCCGTGCCACACCTTTCAGGATGAAGCCGAGGTCCTGACACACAGAGAAGAAAAATACGCTTTAACCTCCTGCATAGAGAGAGCGGGTTTGAGGCCTGAGCAGTGAGCTGGTTACCTCTTCTCTGTGGATCCTGGAGAGGTAGTTCACAAAGAGGTTCTCAGGACCGGCCGGCTGAAAGAGACACAGGACGAGATTTTTAAATGAATAAATCAGAATCGTTTTTTATTAACTCCTCCGTCCTCTTTACCTCCAGGTCCTCCACCCCAGAGGATGACCCGGAGGTCACCAGGGCTTTGAGGGCGGAGCTGGCGGCCGACCCGGCCTCGTGCTCCAGGGCGACCACAAGGATCTGGACGGCCTGCTCCACCAGCAGCTCGCGGTGGTCGGAGAACATCAGGTGGTTGTAGGGGAAGCCGTAGCCCACGGGGTCGTACGCACACACCACGTTGAGCAGCGAGGTGAAGAGAGGCAGGGCGTGTCTGTGTGGAGCGAGGAGAGAGAGGTCAGGCGGAGGTCAGGGGTGGAGGTCACTCAGACCTGCTGTTTATCTGTGTGCTGTCAGAGAGCTCTTCAGAGGGGGCGCTCATGTTACACAGTGTAGGTTAACGCAGAGCAGAGTCTGACATACAGCCACGGTGGACAGAGGACTTCTGTGTTTATCCTCTTTTTTATGATTTCATTATTCAAATCTCTCAGATTGTTTTCCTTTCAGTGTCCTGTCTCCAGATTCAGGTTGTCAAACGATCTACAATTCACTTATCAGACTCTTTTCTCCAAAGCGACGTACATCAGAGAGTAAGAACAACACAAGCAAGGATCTAGAAAAAAGGGAACAATGTGAGTAAGAGCAAACGATCAGCTTTGAGTCTGATTGGACACACAGGTGCTGACAGGAAGTGACCAGAGGCAAAGCACAACATTGAGGGCAGTTCTTGAGAGCTCTAATCAGTATAGAAACCATCTTATAAGTCGTCGTTATCAAACAAAAACCATCATCATCATTACCATCATCATCATCAATAATATGGAGACCATCATGAAAGACTCTGATCCAGGTCTACACTCCCTGGGGGGGGGGGGGGGAGTGTAGACCTGGATCAGAGAGTTAAAGTTCTACCTCATTGGTACCCTTCTGTTGGGATGCAAAGCGTACGTGTATCTTGAGCCTGGAGCCAAGAGGAATGTTAAAGAGCAGTTTGTGTAACTATGGCAACAACACAAGTGTCAATAACGTCTCATGAAGACAGACCACACAGCCAGCCGACCACGTTCATCGTCCTCCATGTTTGTTTCGTTTCTTTTGCCCAGATATAGAAACTCAGATTAGTGTTTTGCTTTCTTTTCTGTTGCTTTTTTTTTGGAGTTAAAGACTGATGAATTATGTTGCTAGAGAAGTCTTCTGGCCCTGACCGGGGATCTTTTTCTATGTGTGTGTGTGTGTGTGTGTGTGTGTGTGTGTGTGTGTGTGTGTTACCTGTTGTCTGTGGAGCAGAAGAAGGACACCCACGGGTTGAGGTTTTTCCTCTCAGAGGATGGAGGGAGGTACATGGCCTCAGAGAAACACGTGAGCAGCAGCTTCAGCAGCTCCGTCCTGAAAAAACACAAAAACTATTAAAGGGGACATATTCTGAAAAATCCACTGAAAAAACATATAGTGGGCCACTAGAGGGCAGTGTGTCTAACACTTCCAGAGCTCTGATACAGTACATCACATTTTAGAAGAAGAGCAGCACACAAACAGGGCCGAGGAGGTTTGTGTAAAGGTGATGTCACCCTCACCTGTTGATGTCATGGACGTAGTTGAGAGGCGGAGACTGAGCGAAGCCGACCCCGGCCTCCCAGATGTACTCACAGCTGTCCATGGAGCGGATGTCCTCAGAAACGTCCTGCAGCACGGACGAGGACAAAGAAACGATGTTAATCCAGAGGCTTGTTTGAAGGTTTCTCTGATTTATTGAAGAGCGGCTAACGTCTGCCTGAAGGTAACATTTCATATTCAGGGAATGTGAGAGGTCACCTGTGATCATCTGCAGTGTGACAGTTCAGCTGCCAGACAGTGTTCACACCTACTACACCATGTGATTCAACAAGCGAGTCCTGACAAAACGTGTGTGTGACACCTCGACTCAGATAACAGAGGCTTCAGAGGTGCTGCTGCTGTTCTTTATGAGTGCAGTGACGGGACAGGGCGGCGTCGGGCCAGGACGACACACCTAAAGGGACACTTCACCCGTTGAAACATGAGTCTGTGTTGACGTTGGGTCATATGTGTAGAAATGTGAATTACATTTTGAAGTTGGAGCCTTCTTGGCCGAGAAAAGACAGAAAGTGTCTTTTTGGCTCATGTGGATGAAAGACACCAAATCCCAGAATGCACAGCACCGCAAGCCACTCCCACTAAGGTCCTCTAGTTCAGAATCAGAAATACACCGGCGGCTCAATGCAAATGGGTGAAGTATCCCTTTAAGTTCAGCGGGAGACGAGGATGTGTTCTCTTTGTTTGTCTGTAAGGTTTGTGACTCCG